CCGACTCTTAACAAGAGAGAATACGTAGTCTAAGTTAAAGGTGAAAGTTCAAATCCATATCCAGCACTTTAAACTTTTGTGAACTATAACAACTAATAGTTATTTAATGTGACATTGTAATTAACGAAAACACATTCTTCTAACACCTATTTGCACATTTGCAAAGCACTGTATAAATCAGAGTTTTCAACATTATTGGATTACGTCACCGAAAACTACCACGAGTGCTCTTCTACTCCTCGTGGAAAAGAACAAGAAGAAAAGATCGCACCACCGTTCATGTAAAACATAACGTGTATTGATTTCACATATTTACCATTTGTTTGCCTCTTGGGAGTTTCTTTAATATGAATCGACAGCAACGACAAATATCCCTTATGATGATGGTGAACCGCCTATCGTATTATAGTAAACGAGTTAAAATTTAAAGTCACAGCAGCAGTACGATGGCTGTTCAACAAGTAATGGCAACACCATAACCAAATATAACCCCTGCACATTTAGCGTCTATGGAAAGCCTCAGATGAGTTCTAATCAGCTGACTAACTTTTGTGACGTCATATCCAATATGAAAAGTTGTTATGACGTCACAATGTGATGATGTTGGTCAGTATCAATTATCCAGGGTCAGTTGCCAGAGCTGAAATAAATGAACACCGGATGGACGGCACAGGTTGGCGTAAAAGGCAGAAACTTGGCTTAAAACGAACTCCAAGGGGATCACTAATTTCAGTTTGACATTGCAGTTGTCGATTAAGAAGAGGCCACAAATGGTCCATTATTACTAACTATTTTGTAATTGCAGCAACTTCGGTTATAACGAACTGAAAAGGACCACTAATTTCAGTTTGACATTCAGTTTCGATTAAAAATATACGCAAGTAGCTTCAGAACAAATCGTCAGTTCGATATATCCGTATGTCTTTATATCCGCTTGTTCCTGGAAATCCGTATGTTCGGTATATCCGTATGTTCGGTATATCCGAATGTTCGTTACACCCGTTGTTTGTTATATCAGCATGAAACGTTATATCCGCATGTTCGTTTTATTTGTATCTTTGTTATATCCGCTTGTTCGTTATACCTATATGTTGATTATATCAGTATGTTCTTTGTAGTGGCGCGTGGTCCTGTTCTCAAATCTCAGGTCAGAAATCGGTGAAGTTAAGCAGCGATGGAGCTCGGAGAGAGTCATTGGATGGGTGACCGTGTTTGGCATCATGACTCCTGACAGTTTCTAGGACTTGAATCATACCCCACAACGAAGCTAGTGTGACATATGTGGTCTCACCTTAGGCAAAGTGGGAGTTTGTTCAAACATTTTCTCTGTTCACCCAGCAGAAAAATGGGTACCCGGTGGAAAAAGTCATATGACTATAACCTTCTAGCGCCGAACAGGCAGCAGGTTATCCAGGGGTAATCAATAACGTGCTGTGCCGCCTTGATTGTTAGCGCTATGAGCATACCTAGTGTGGAGTTTGGCACTATATCAAGCGCGCACATTATTATTTTTATTATCCGCGTGGTAACGTTATATCCGTATGTTCGTAATATCCGTATTTAAAGTACTAGTTTTAAGTTATATATCTGTGATAGTCTAGTTGGTTTTACTGTCGCTTTGTCGACAGCTATTTACATTGATTACCTTGTTTTCATCGATACATGGCTGTAATATTGCCGATGCGATGTAACATTTTTAACTCACTCACTCGCTCACTCGTTATATCCGCATGTTCGTTATGTCCATATGTTCGTTATGTCCGTATGTTCGTTATATCAGTATGTTCGTTATATCCGTATGTTCATTATATCCGCTTGTTCGTTATATCCGTATGTTTGTTATATCCGCTTGTTTGTTATGTCCGTATGTTCATTATATCCGCTTGTTCGTTATATCCGTATGTTCATTATGTCCGCTTGTTTGTTATATCCGTAACCGCCCCCGTGGTGTAGTGGTTAGAGCGTCCGCCGGAGAGCGGAAGGTCGCGGAGTTCGATCCCCGACCGCGTCATACCAAAAGACGTTAAAATATGGTACTTGTTGGTCCTGCCTGGCGCTCGGCATTAATGGGTACAACAAAGGCACTGGTCGGCTCGGAATCAGTATAATGTGTCTGAGTGGGGTATTCATACTTCACTCCGGCATGGTATCTCAGTGGGCTAGCACTATGAAACCAGCTTCAGTCTCGGCTAGTACAAGTAGCCGCACCTACACATACACGCATGCACGTCGTCATATGAGCGAAATATTCTCAAGCACGACGTTAAACCCAATTTCACCCCACCTCACCTCACGATACTATACGCGATACATGCTTGCGTGTATCGATTGCTATTTTAAAACTTTATCGATTCAAATTGTTATGCTATATCCATTTCCGTCAAAGTCTTGATAGCAAAATTATACCAGACCCCTCCGATAAATAGATGTAGCTAGCTTTTACTTTTAAAAATAGGTTGGTAACTAACAGCTTTTGTGATTGGCTAGGACTATTTTGATGGACCAATCAGCGAGCGCGTACGTTGCCGGTAAAGGTAATGCTATGAAAAGGCGCGATAATTATTAGGTGTCGCGATACGAGAATGTATCGATGCATCGATACATTTTACTGACGATACGATACGCGATACATGCTTGCGTGTATCGATTCCTATTTTAAAACTTTATCGATTCAAATTTTTATGCTATATCCATCTCCTTCAAAGTCTTGATAGTAAAATTATACGAGATCGCTCCAATAAATAGATGTAGCTTTTAGCTTTACTTAAAAAAATAGGTTGGAAACTAACAGCTTTTGTAATTGGCTAGACTATTTTGATGGGCCAATCAGCGAACGCGTACGCCGCCGATAAGGTAATGCTACGAAAAGGCGCGAAAATTATGTATCGCGATACGTATCGTATCGTGACCTTAAAATCGTGATACGTATCGTATCGTGAGATTGGTGTATCGTGACACACTCTAATAATTATGCATCGCGATACGTAACGTATCGTGACCTTAAAATCGTGATACGTATCGCATCGTGAGATTGGTGTATCGTGACACCCCTAACCCCACATGTTCGTTATATCCGCTTGTTCGTTATATCCGTATGTTCGTTGTATCCGTATGTTCGGTATATCCACATGTTCGTTACATCTGTTTGTTCGCTTGTTCGCTATATCCGCAAGTTCGTTATATCCATATGTTCGTTACATCTGTTTGTTCGCTTGTTCGCTATATCCGAAAGTTCGTTATATCCGTATGCTCGTTATATCCGCTTGTTTGTTATATCCTTATGTTTGTTATATCCGTATGTTCGTTATGCGTCCGCTTGTTCGTTATATCCGTATGTTTGTTATATCCGTATTTTCGTTATATCCGCTTGTTTGTTATATCCGTATGTTCGTTATATCCGCTTGTTTGTTATATCAGTATGTTCGTTATATCCGTGTGTTTGTTATATCAGTATGTTCGTTTTGTCCGCTTTGTTCGTTATATCTGTATGTTCGTTATATCCGCTTGTTTGTTATATCAGTATTTTCGTTATATCCTATCCTCTGTTGTGGCATCTGAGTCCCACAATTAGAGTTTGGGGGCATCTGAGGCATCGTTTGCGTCCTCGGCATTTGGGCATACGTTAGCTGAGATTGCTTGAAGCTCTGGCACATCTGATTATAGATGGGACAGTTCCTGAGGAGATGCCCATTTTCGTTGCAGACAAGGCAACGTCATGCAGGCCTCTGAGACTGAGCAGTGTAATTTCCACCTTCAGGTGTAGGCACAGTGTGCAGTTCTCTATTGGACTCATACCCTTTGTTTTCAAGCCTAGATATGCTTTGAGGCAATGTCCTTGAGGTGCTTCCTCACGACCTTTATCATCTGGTAATTCAGCAGATGGTGGACCAACATAACGTACAAATGGCCTCTTTCTGTCCTTAGAATCATCCATTATTGCCTCATAGCGTTCAATAACATCAACAGCTCCAGAGACAGAGCGACAGTCACGATCCATGCATCTACATTTCATTTCTAGAGGTATTGCTTTATACAGCTGGTTTAGGGCTAGGGCTTCCTGAGCTCTAGCATCAAGGTTAGAATAGGCTCGCTGTGCTATCTGCCTCAGATCATCACCTAAAGTAGCAATTGTTTCATTGGGTCGTCTTTGCATCATCTCTACCTGTGAGAGCCAACGACTTTGTTGACGTGAACTGCCAAATCTATCACCAATTTCCTGACAAGGTAGGTGTAGTTACGCCTCTCATCTGGAGACAGACCTGTATAGAACATACGTGCTGAACCTCTTAAACCAGCTGCAAGGGCTAAAACCTTGTCCTGGTCATCCCATCTGCCAAGCTCAGCACATGCCTCAAAGTGACACAGGTATTCTTCCCAATCATATGAGTCAGGATGGAAATTAAGACCAGCCTTGGGTTTAAAAATGTGTTCGCCTTTAGGAATAGGCCTTTAGTCGTGTTTGGTTGGGTCTCGGGAAGGTAATCATCAGTACCCTCAGCATGGGGTAACTCAGATGAGTCTGGCATGAGTCCCTCTACTGGAGGAGCAAACATTCGCCCATGGCTGTGAACATAGGTAGCTCCATCAGCTATTGTACAATTATTCCTAGGACCTCTCCTCGAGAAGAATTGGGACACCTTTGATGTACATCACCCTCAGAGCGACTATGTTGTACCAATGGATGTGGAGTTCCCGGCCTCATTGGTAGCCTATCATCAGAAACAGACCTAATACTTTAAGCCACAACTGACCCTGAGATCTGAGACATCTGATCATCATCTGGTTCATCATCTGGAGAATTCCTTGCAACATCAATAGTTTTGAATAAGACATCTGGGTCTGGTGACTCTGCCATCGTCTCCAGAATCTACCAACCCTAATGGATTCGGACCACTGGATTACTAATTATGAAAATCAGTATCCCACTCTGACAACAAAATTTTAACGCCCTTTGGGGTACACGTGGGAAAACAAATAAATACAGGAGACGATGAAGTAGTAGGTAGCAAAGTTTGCCGTGATATATGCAAACTTTGTTTTAATTTTGTTTCAATGGCAAGAATGTAGATGGGATTTTGTTTGGCAATGCAATAAAATAAAATGCAATAAAATAAATCGGATGCCATATATATATATCTAATGACAAGGTTCAGTCTCCAAGGAATTATATATTTTGTTATTTCAACTCAAATATCTTGCAGAAATTATACTGAGTACGTAATATAGTTATTAAATTATATTTATATCGATAGCCAGCCCTAACATACATGTTGGTCTGGTTCTGTGTATTATTCTGACTATAACGTGATCATGTCTTCCCTCGTTGATGTCGCTGTGTAAGTGATCCGAGTCATGTAGCTGCCTGAACCTTCTGACGTTGAATTCTTGTTGACTCGTGACCGTCACTTCCCTGTAAAATATTAACGCATGAATAATCTTTTAATCAAAACCACTTGGTTAAAGATGATTTCTGGATTTCCAAGAAAACGACCATGTATTTGTCCTCGACGTCAGTTAAAGTGAATTTTAAAGTAAATGGTAAAGAATAACCAGGCTCGATTATCCGCAACAAATGCAATAAGCGCTAATGAAGTGAGTAAGGGAGTTTAGTTTCATGTCGCTTTTAGTATTATTAGCAATATCACGGTTGGGACACCTGAAATGGGCTTCACATGTACCCATGTGGGGAATCGAACCTTGATCTTCGGCGTAACGAGCATACGCCGCTGTAACCACTCGGCTATTCAAGCGCCCTTGTGCGAAACAAAACTATACACGTGAGGACGAAAATACGTATTTTAACAACATGTCATCTACACCACATCATACCTCCATAGGTGGAGTTAGCACCCTTCTGCTAACACCAATCGACTTTAACCAACACAGAGCTATGGTGTCTTTTATGCTTTGATTGTTCCCTGGTGATGGCGTATTGAAATTGGTCTCTGTTTAGCGATAGTGAAGTCACAATGTTTTAAAATGAGGTCTATATTTTAGATTTGGACAAGTCATACTATATTTAGAAATCGGTCTCTATTTTAGATTTAGTGACGTCAAAATATTTAGAAATTGGTCTCCATTTTAGATCTAACCACAGTGGAAGCGAGGATAGTAAACACTCGTGAAGTCACCTGTTAGATTTTACGCTTTAGGAATATGATGCAAATTAACATGCTGATGATGAAACCAAACATCCCTGATACTGCCCACAGTTTGAAACCTCTGTTGTAGCGTTCACCAGGCCAACCTGTCAACGAAAGGAAATAGCAATGAGTTTTAAATTTCGTAATTCTCATGTATACCGATTCTTTAAGGTTAAGCGCCAGCCTATTTCAAAACTAAGATGTGAAGCTGTGGAAATGTTAGGCTAAAAATAATTGGGAAGACCAATCCATATTTAGAAAAAAGTTCATCTGGTAACTGATTTAGGGATATCATAATCTATTGAATCTTAAAATTAGAGGAAATATTGTTAAAGATATGATGGAACTGCTTTTTAAAGCAAAATAACTATTCCTATTCTGCTTTATACAACACAATTAAGCTTTAGGTTTCAATTGTCAAAAATGACAATCATGTGACCATATAACAGTCATTTCTGGATTTTCATTTTACAAAAGAAGGTAACCTGTTTGAGGAAAACAAAATGCACGTTTTCCAAAGGCGCATACATTTCCATAATAGTTTTGTTTCCATAAAACTAAAAGTACTAAAAACAAATTATGATAGTTGTTTTTTTTCTGAAAGATTTCCTTTGAGACAACCTATTTTGGCAAAATATACTAGGTGGCGCTTAACTTTTTATTCACAGTATATATATATATCAACTCAACAAGAAAAGGTAAATAGAAACTCCTTAAAAGGCAACATACTTCTATAGATTACAACGTCTTCATACTCTTTCATTGTGCGATGTTTTAGAATATATGATCAGATAAGAAAAAATTTCATACATGAAAGGCATGACATTTTCTGGATGACAATTATTGATTTATTAATCTTTATTTTGAATCGATACTTGTATCGAAGTCATCATCCGTACAGTAACTGGCCTTCCATTAGAACACGCTTTTATCGATATAGATCATAGACTTTGATAGTAGGTCGATATCGATAAACATCTGAAAAGTAACTTTGGGGCCAAAATGACAAAAATGTCTGAAAGAAATGAATATATTTCACACTACTGATCATTTGTGACATGTTTATGTATGTTTTACTAACAATGCATCGTCTGAACACATAGAAGCAGTCCGTGATTAAAATCTAATTTTGTGTATTGTGTGCGTTAATAGTATATTCTATCACAAATGTGTATGTCCGATACTATCGCAGACATTATTTTCATATCGATAAACTTAAATAATTTCACCTATCGACGATATTTCCGAGTATCGGTCTTTTTAGCCATTCGTACCTTCAATTGCTTCTTCACTTTTAAAATGCCACTCAAGCAGATGGTACCTCTTAATTAGACAGCTATGTTGACGTCAAATGTTTTTCAACTGCCGACGAAATAATAATATTACGAGTTTATCGACCTGTAGTCAAATCTGTTTTACCTTCACATGATTGAGCAGTGCAATCAGCAATGGAACAGTTCCTGCAGGTAGAATTACATCCACGTCCAGTCACGTGACAGCCTTTGATGTACGTGCCTGTCATCTGCAGACACTCCCCATCCAGGCACACATCACAAGACATGTTACAATATTGTCCATACAATCCTTGGCTGCATCCCCGTGTACAGGATCCGCTGCTTGTCGGACACGTGTTATTCCAACATCCTACTGGGCAGGATTCGCATCCTCTTCCAAAATATCCAGGAATACAAACCGTCATACAATCACCTGTATTCGTACATCTTGTGTTCAAACACTTAGAGTTACACTGGCTGGAACACTTCATCCCGTACCATCCTTTTACACATCCTTCTGTACACCAACCTGTGTCATTACATCTCCCACTCAGTTTTTACAAGTCACAGTCGTGTCCAAAATAATTGAGCTGGCACTCGACACACTCCAGTGATCCTGTTGCAGGACTTACATCGACTGGAACACGACTTACAGCCAGTCCCGTAGTAGGAGTCTACACATCCAGACACACAGGACGCGCCCAGCTGACAATATCCTCCATCACAACCACCTGGACATGCTGTACAGCTACCTCCTGGACTGTCACATGGCATGTTGCACCCAATGCCTTGATATCCTGGGACACACCCTTCAGTGCAATCACCGATGCCAGTATCTGATATCCGACATGAGTGGTTTCTGCAGGTCTTGCTGCACACTGACCTGCATTTCTTACCAAAGTACCCAGTGTCACAGTCTGTCAGACAACGTCCGGTTGTGTTGTCACACTCTGAACAGTGCTGTTTCTCCCTGCACTGGTTGGCTGAAATGATCCGAAAATAACATCACAGTCTGAACAGTAGCTGTTCTCTGTACAAGGAACATCAGAAAATAACATCACAGTCTGAACAGTAGCTGTTCTCTGTACAAGGAACATCAGAAAATAACATGACAAAAAGCTCGAACAGTAGCTGTTCCTCTGTACAAGGAACATCAGAAAATAACATCACAGGCTGAACATCACAGGCTGAACAGTAGCTGTTCTCTGTACAAGGAACATAAGAAAATAGCATCACAGGCTGAACAGTAGCTGTTCTCTGTACAAGGAACATCAGAAAATAACATCACAGTCTGAACAGTAGCTGTTCTCTGTACAAGGAACATCAGAAAATAACATCACAGTCTGAACAGTAGCTGTTCTCTGTACAAGGAACATCAGAAAATAACATCACAGTCTGAACAGTAGCTGTTCTCTGTACAAGGAACATCAGAAAATAACATCACAGTCTGAACAGTAACTGTTCTCTGTAGCTGTTCTCTGTACAAGGAACATCAGAAAATAACATCACAGGCTGAACAGTAGCTGTTCTCTGTACAAGGAACATCATCAGAAAATAACATCACAGTCTGAACAGTAGCTGTTCTCTGTACAAGGAACATCAGAAAATAACATAACAGTCTGAACAGTAGCTGTTCTCTGTACAAGGAACATCAGAAATGCGAATACAATTGTTAGACTGTGATATATGAAAATGTGGGTAGATAATGTAATATTACCAACATTAATTGATGAGATTTGATTCTTAAAAAAACAGGAACAAGTTGAATGGAAACAGTTTTATCTACCTTGATTGGAAGTAGCCAGACATGCAATGCACAACATCATCAAAATGTCCATGACCGACCCTGAAACAAATGACATAAAGAAGGGAAACATATTGCAAGCACAAAACAAAACTCAAATAACATCGACTGATAATTATCACTGAAGTCAGTCAATATTGCATATCAGTAATGGATCTTATGACATCGATACATTAGTTACCTATGATTACTTAAGACTAATAATTTGCAGGATGGAGAGTGAGCGAGTAAGTGAGTGAGTGAATAGGTGGGTGAGTGAGTGAGTGAGTGGCTGAATGAGTGAGTAAGTGGGTGAGTGGCCGTCTAAGATATTGGTGAGTGAGAGGGGCGTCGTTGAGGCCTGTATGTGCAGCTAAGTAGATACAAATTGTCATGCAATTGTGTATAAAACAATATTTGTACCTTATTCTCGACGGTCAGCATGACTTATTGTTTTAAACGTTCAAGAAAGATATGTCGTTTCGGATCAATTTCCAAGCAATGTAACAATAGAAGAGATAATACATTCACATACAGTACAGAAACTGAAGACTTTAGTTTCATTGATTGATTATGACATTCTTCCTCCAGTTTCAGTTTATCAACAGTGTATCCCTGCACACTACTATCGTTTATGGCACACTCAATAGACGCAACACACCCATGATGTGGGAAGAGCCGGACACACACAGAACCAGGGGATGTGGGAAGAGCCGGACACAGAGAGAGAGAGAGAGGGAGAGAGAGAGAGAGAGAGAGAGAGAGAGAGAGAGAGAGTGAGAGAGTGTACACGCAACACACCACGATCTAGGAAGAGCCAGACACACAAAACCCACAACCAGGAGGGGGGGAGAGAGACACACACAGAAAGAGAGAAGGAAAGAAAGAGAATACGCATCACACCTACAACTTGGGGAGAGTCACAAAAACTACATACAGAACACACACACACACACACACACACAGAGAAAACACACACACACACACACAAACACGCAACAAAGACAGGACCCAACAACGCGCCGCCATATTTGCAACATCATCCGTAAATCCCTTGGTAAAAGAACAGATGCCCGACATTTAACTTCGTTTAAGATTTAGTCGCCATGTCATATCTATCGCTACATTGAATTATCAGATGTTTCACTTCCTCAAATCTGTGCATAGCACGGAAGCATTCTTTTGTTTGTTGGTTGTAACCGCGTTCAGAAAATCGCCCAGAGATATAAATCTTTATCATACAATGGATAGCGTTCTCGGGAGGATAAAGCCAACGGATATTTTCGGTATCCGTTGGGGTCATATACGGATATCGATGCAAATTAGAGAGGTCATATGCAAATTTCAGGGACTACTTTCACAGCGTAAACAAACATGGCGTCAAGGGTAGGCGGTCGTGTCCGGATTAACGGCCGTGGTTACGGTACTGTCAAGAAGGTAGATCGCCAAGGTACTCGCCAAATACAATGATTATTCCTAATGCAGGATATTAACCATCCAAAAACACACTCGCGTGATAACCTATATGTCTGTAAATAATAGAGTCTGGACAAGAGAATCCTGTGCTTCAAATCATGAGCATCGAACAATTTTAAATAAAAATACATTTCAAGCAACCAGACCTGACCAACCTGTCAGGTTAGTCGCCTGTTACGTGCATGGATTTTAATGTGTGTACTTGCAAGAATGATGAGGGATACATTGGCTAAAACCACAGGTGTATAGGAAACATTCAGCAAACAGATGACACAAGGCTACTCACCAGAGGCTACTCACCAGAGGCCGGTCTAAAATGCTCAGAAGGTGGCAGGTCGCGGCAAGAATGAACGAGGCGGTGAAAATGTCTCCGTGTGTCTCGTGACCTGATGTCATCATTTACCAATAGGGAAGTTGTAAGATCTATACAGATGACACATCAAGTTTTAACGTCATTGTCCTGAGCCTGGATTGACTGACTGAGTTTAGTTTTACGCCGCTTTTAGCAATATTCCAGCAATATCACGGCGGGGGACACCAGAAATGGGCTTCACTCATTGAACCCACGTGGGGATTCGAACCCGGGTCTTCGGCGTGACGAACCAACGCTTTAACCACTAGGCTACCCCACCGCCCCCTGAGCCTGGAACAACCAAGTAACACAGAGAGAGTTTACCAGATGACCACCACAACAGATCACAACACCTTGTTAACTTTATATTGTCTTCCCGATTCCTCACTATAAACGCGAAAAAATAGTTTAAAATATATTACTCAATGTGCTAATCCCAATTCTCACGTTGACAATGTTCGTTAGTTTCGAATGTGGGCCTACATTTGACCAGTGAAAGAGAGTAACCTCCCTTGAACCGCTGATCGTGGTGGTTCGCCCGAGACGTTAGTCCATATAATCTGGCCAGGCATATATATTTTCTTTCAACGAAGAACAGAGCAGTGGGTTCTGCTCCCCTACATGGGTACAATGTGTCACCCGCCGTGGTAATCTTGGGGATGCTCCCAATGTGCCTACAGTTCATTCTGCCTACAGTCATATGCCTACTTTATGGTTGAGTGATGTTAAAGTTAGCCTGGTTCACCCATCAACAGTAGTGAACTAGCCCACTATGTTTGAGTGACTATGCTTTAATTAATCCCAAATATAGAATAACCAACACTATTGGTGTCATAAACTTTATTCCATGCATGCGTGTAACATTAACAATTTAAATAAAATAAATATTAATGTTTTGCACATTCCTAAGCACATTCACATTAAGTTAAAAAATTGTCGAGAATTTAACACATTTCACAGAAAAATAAGCAGTAAGCTTTTGAAACAGTTTGTAGAGTTTCATATAACGTCCTAGGCCAGCCTGAGCAGGAGTCAAGCTGCATCCAGGAACATCAGAGGAGAGTTTGTTCCTGTGGCGAGGTGCTGCATCAGTATGTTCCTGTGGCGAGGTGCTGAGACGTTTGTGCCTGTGGCGAGGTGCTGCTTCAGTTTGTTCCTGTGGCTGCTTCAGTACTGTCCAGGCCCCGGTTCACGACGCTCTCGTAAGCCTAACATCTGGTAACTTTTCTCGTAGCATTCGTACTCCTATGTTACAGTATAGAAAGTACTAATGCTACGAGAAATGTTACGAGATCTTAGGCTTACGAGAGCTTCGTGAAACGGGGCCCAGTTCACGGTAGATTTGTGGACGGCGACTACCTGCAGCTACATGGTCGGACTGGATGCGGTCACCCGATCAACCTTCTCGATCTGGTACGTAAACTCATAGATGTTCGGATGAGCTTTCTGGATTGTGTGTTTCATTCAGCTGTGGAGTCCCTCTAGGTGGTTGTTGGTCCTGTGTCATGCTGGTTCTTGTGGAATCTCGTCGATGATGTCCAGCCAGGTATCTCTCACTTGGCCTAGGAGAGGCAGAGCAGCAGCGAGGGCCTGGATAGCTGGGTCGGTCTTGCATTCCATAGCAAGACCTTTCTCTGCAACGCAGCACAGCTTGGGAATAATAGAAAAAACAGCATGGGATGTTTGCATGAGGAAATACTTCTTCGGAAGCACGCACTGCAGCAACTTCAAAGTCTGCGTGGATGCTGACAGGGATGGTTCAGCGCGGACACGCTGGGTTCTCACCTCCTTCAGCAAGTTGAACAGCCTCACATATGTTGGTCTTGACTTGTCTGGTAGAAGGGCAAGGCCACAGAAAACTGTTCTCGTTGATCATGCAGTGGATGGAGTATGTCTGATACCACAAACTAGGCACGTGTAGACTGTACCGTCCATGTGAATGTCATTACCGTCATGAAGTATATCCAACATCTCGGTCGTGGCGAACACAAAGATCTTGTGCTCGTCTCCATCGTTAATGGGCAGAAATCGGTGACCATCAATGGTAACTATCCACTGATCTTCAAGGTCTAATTCTGCTAATGTCTGGGACAGGGGTGGAAGTACTTTTCTCTGATGTATGTAGAGGGCGGAATTTTATGCTGACGTACGGCTGGATTGCGGCAACGTCGTCTATGTCGAGGCCTGAAGCTTCTTCTTCATAAATCTGTTCCTTGGGGGTCACATCTTCTTTCACCCTACTCCCTAGGATACTTGCAAGGACCACGTGTACTTGCTTCTCTAACTCGATGGGTGGGTGAATATGTACAGACACAGATCTGGTCTCCGATGGTGCTGCATCGACCCTTGCTTCCACGAACCAGACACATCCAGTGTGTCGCAGCCTAACGGCGGACATTCAGGCGGTACCTACATCCATCAAGGACCTCCTGAGAGGGTAGGTAAGTCCCAAAACTTTCAAAGCTAAATTTAAACTTACAAGATTTTTAAAACGTGGTGTTTTTGTTCTTTTAAAGTTGGCTATATATATTTCCTACAATCGCCAGTGGCTGAAGGGATGGTGTAAATCCATTTAGGGTCCATGCAGGTAGCAAAGGTACTGTAAGTCCCCATGGTCCCTAATATGGTGATCTACCTTCAGTTGTTGGCGATCTATAGCCAGATTTATATTGTATTGTCCAAACAGGCTATCAGTTTTAACTTTCCACACTAGTTTTAATTCTAATAGTGATATTCTAGTTGTTTTACTGTCCTTCGTGGACAGGTTTTAATAATGTACATATATTCCATTTCAATGTAAAATATGTTCTCGTCACGATATGGCTGCAATATTGCCGATGCGCATTAAATATTAACTCACTCACTCCATCAAGGAGTACCTGATCACCTCCCATCTGTGACTTAACTCTCTGAGGGATGGACATAGTGGAGGTTGACCATTAGAAGAGATTATCTTGAGATACTAATCTGGGATAAATAATGGATTATATTCTATAACTAACTTCTGAGAAATTAGAAGTAGAAATGTGGAGCAAGATTTCAGCCTAAGAAGGTCTACCAGTCAAAACATGATTCATTTCTTTTCTTATCTCATATCACTAATTGGCTTTTTTTAAATGGTTTTAGCCATGTTGTCAATATCACACCACGAGTAGAACTAGACAACAAATTCTAATTCATCGTATTTGGGTCAGTTCATTATATCCTAAGGGGTGTTTTTCAATTCTAATTCTGCCTGCAGTTAAATTAAACCCACAATGGGCTGTAGGCAGATTGAACTGTAGGCACATTGGTACTAAACCAATCCTGGAACATTGCTCAAATCGAGGTCAAATCACACATACTTACTCACTTCCATTGTCATTATAACTGTAAACGTTCTATGGATTGCTGGTCCGGGTTGAGAGTTCACTGTGTCATCTGTATAGACATAACAACTTCCCTATCAATGAAATAAAGACATTATCTGACGTCAAACACGGAAACATTTGCACCGACACGTCTGGTTTATGATCATGCCTGTCCTGAACCAGAACAGCGTCTGGTGAGTAAACCTGTCTCATAGATACATGCTTGTCCATAGATTCATTGTCCATAGATGCATGCTTGTCTCATAGATACATGCTTGTCTCATAGATACATGCTTGTCTCATAGATACATGCTTGTCCATAGATACATGCTTGTCTCATAGATACATGCTTGTCCATAGATACATGCTTGTCTCATAGATACATGCTTGTCCATAGATACATGCTTGTCTCATAGATACATGCTTGTCTTGTCCATAGATACATGCTTGTCCATAGATACATGCTTGTCTCATAGATACATGCTTGTCCATAGATACATGCTTGTCCATAGATACATGCTTGTCTCATAGATACATGCTTGTCCATAGATACACGCTTGCTTGTCCATAGATACATGCTTGTCCATAGATGATACATGCTTGTCCATAGATACATGCTTGTCTCATAGATACATGCTTGTCCATAGATACATGCTTGTCTCATAGATACATGCTTGTCCATAGATACATGCTTGTCCATAGATACATGCTTGTCCATAGATACATGCTTGTCCATAGATACATGCTTGTCCATAGATACATGCTTGTCCATAGATACATGCTTGTCCATAGATACATGCTTGTCCATAGATACACACACGCTTGTCCATAGATACATGCTTGTCCATAGATACATGCTTGTCTCATAGATACATGCTTGTCCATAGATACACATAGATACATGCTTGTCCATAGATACATTCTTGTCCATAGATACATGCTTGTCCATAGATACATGCTTGTTCATAGATACATGCTTGTCCATAGATACATGCTTGTCCATAGATACAATGTCCATAGATGCATGATTGTCTCATAGATACATGTGGTTTCAGGCGAATGTGGGCATCATTCATGGGGTACTCAAAGATTAAATCCCTTGCTTGTAAGTGGTAACTAACGGGATCGGGTTTTCTGTTCGCTGACTTGGTTTTCAATTGCATCGTATCAGAAATGCATAGATCGATACTTCCTCAGCCAGCCAGCTGGCCAGTCAGTCTTTCATTCATTTTATTTACGTGATTCTGAATAAGGAAACTTAAATACATCTTCCATATTTACATTGATCTGAAAACTATCCCCAAAACATATAAGCTTACGTTTGTTAAACGTCTTGTTGGCAATATGTTATAAATACAGTGGACTCTGTATAATCCGACACTCACTGGGACCGGGGGAAAATGTCGGATTATACAGAGTGTCGGAAAATTCAATGTCTCCTTGCTTGAATACTTTTCAAACAGTACCATACATTGTAACTGGCTTATATCATGAAATTAATGCTTAATGGGTATTTTCTGGGTAAATACAGGGAAGAAAACAAATTCAGTATTTAAATGTGCATATATATCATTGGATTTATTATACAGTGTGGCTAGCTATTTATTGCTGACAGTGACAATTGAAGTTGCCACCACTGACTCATTGGTAATTGATGTCACCAAATTAATTCTCAGCCCTTTCATCCTATGCTTGACAAAACTTACTTAGGTCCTCACGTTGGCCGCTCAGCTTGTAAAACAAAGGTAGTGGTAAGGTACACTGCTAATTCCCATACTTTAACAAGTGCTGGGACCAAAGACTTACCAGTAACAGGATGTTAGTAGCGCTAAGGTGATCGTAACTCCCATACTTTAACATAGACTTACGACAGTCGTAGCGCTAAGGTGATCGTAACTCCCATACTTTAACATACGACTTACGACAGTCGTAGCGCTAAGGTGATCGTAACTCCCATACTTTAACATAGACTTACGACAGTCGTAGCGCTAAGGTGATCGTAACTCCCATACTTTAACATAGACTTACGACAGTCGTAGCGCTACGATCGCTTTGAGGAACATGGACCAGCAGAACTGGTGGAGTGCAAAGACGTACGTAACCTGCTTAAACTTTGCATGAGACTGCACGAAAATGTGACAATCTTGAAACGTGACCATAGTTAAAGGTCAAACGTCAACATATTGTCGTACGTCTGTCGACTTATCAGAAATTGTACATTTCAGAGACTCAGTGGCAATAAAATTTTAAAATGAAACTTCGCGGGCTTGTTTTGGTAACATTGTAATTCTTAATTTATTAAATGATTCAAGCATCATTGTATTTATAATCCACATTGTCTAGCTAAATCACTACTGAATAGGACTATTTCACTGTTCAACTAATAACACTAAATGATGGCAACCATACAGGAAATAATTGTACAGCGTGGAAATAATTGTGTATTCTCCGGGTCATTGACTCTGAGAGTGAAATAGCGACGACCAGTAAAACAAACGTGCCAAAGTGATTTTACTGTCCAGTTACTGTACCCGTTTCTTATGTATGTTATGCCATCATTATCAAACTACTCATGTTTGATTCTGTTCATTCCATGGCGATCATGACATTTGATGATAACACAAATACATTAATCGAGTAATCCGACATGAAGCCTTATTCGAGTATAACTGTACCCTTATTCTCTGAGTATCACTCGCCTTATTCGAGTATGACGCCTTATTGATCTCATGATCAGCCTTATTCTAGTATGACGCCTTATTCGAGTATGAAACCTTATTCGAGTATGACGCCTTATTCGAGTATGAAGCCTTATTCGAGTATGAGTTACTGATCAAAGATCATTAGTAAGTAATTCAGGAATGTAAATACCGACAACTGAAGAAATTTAAGACAGCACATTATATTAAACATACCTATGCTTATTTAATAAATAAATTAGTTTTGATCAAAGATATTTAAATATACCTTCTACGTGAACTACATTACAACCTTATCTCACATCGTAAACTAGTAATGTATTTCTTCAGTAATGAATTAAAGCAATGTTCACTTCGTTTATCCTGCATGGAAAAGAAATAACCAAGCATCAGTATAATAATCTGTCACTCAAAACCGGATTATTCGGAATAATTAAATGTGAGGTAATTAAGTGATGGCTAACTAAACACCAGTACTCTGTGGGTATTAACGCTTTATTAGTCTCAAGTATCATATGTTTACTGATGCCATGAGGTGAGGTGAGGTGAGGTGAGGTGAGGTGAGGTGAGGTGAGGAGGTAAAATTGGGTTTTACGTCGTGCTTGAGAATATTTCGCTCATATGACGACGTGAGGTGCGTGTGTAGGTGTGTATGTGCGGCTGCTTGTACTAGCCCAGACTGAAGCTGGTTTTATAGTGCTAGCCCACTGAGATACCATGCCGCAGTGAAGCAGGAATACCCCACTTAGACACATTATACTGACTCCGAGCCGACCAGTTCTTGTTGTACCCATTAATGCCAAGCGCCAAGCAGGTACCAACAAGTACCATGTTTTAACGTCTTTTGGTATGACGCGGTCGGGGATCGAACCCGTGACCTTCCGCTCTCCGGGCGGACGCTCTAACCACTACACATCACGGAGGCGTATTACTGATTCCAGTTGACTGACTTCAGTTATCCAGTTCGTCATTATCAGTTTGGTACTTTTCTTTTAGGCGTGCACTATGTTTTCATTGTTAATGTTCATTTTGTTTCAGGGTCGATCATGGACATTTTGATGATGTTGTGTATTGCATGTCTGGCTACTTCCAATCAAGGTAGAACAAAATATGTCAATAAACTTCCTGTGTTTTTTAAATATCATCAAGCAATTTTATTATTATTACATTATCCACTAACGATTTCATATCATAGTCCATCAACTGGATTCACGTTTTCGATGTTCCTTGTACAGAGAACAGCTACTGTTCAGACTGTGATGTTATTTTTCAGGATCATTTCAGCCGACCAGACCAGTGCAAGGAGAGACAGCATTGTTCAGAATGTGACAGTACAACTGGATATTGTCTGACAGACTGTGACACTGGGTACTTCGGTATGAATTGCAGGTCAGTGTGTAGCAAGACCTGCAGAAACCACTCATGTCGGACATCAAATACCGGCATCGGTGATTGCACTGAAGGATGTGTCCCTGGATATCAAGGCATTGGCTGCAACATACAATGTGACAGTCCAGGAGGTAGCTGTACAGCATGTCCAGGTGGTTGTGATGGAGAATATTGTCAGCTGGGCTCATCCTGTGTGTCTGGATGTGTAGACTCCTACTACGGCAATGACTGTAAGTCGTGCTGTAGTCGATGTAAGTCCTGCAACAGGATCACTGGAGTGTGTCGAGAGTGCCAGCTCAATTATTGACAGGACTGTGAATATTCTTGTAAAAACTGCGTCAGTGGGAGATGTAATGACACAGGTTGGTGTACAGACGGATGTGAAGAAGGATGGTACGGGATGAACTGTTCCAGCCAGTGTAACTCTAAGTGTTTGAACACAAGATGTACGAATACAGGTGATTGTACTGACGGTTGTATTCCTGGATATTTTGGAAGAGGATGCGAATCCTGCCCAGTTGGATGTTGGAATAACACGTGTCTGACAAGCAGCGGATCCTGTACACGGGGATGCAGCCGAGGATTGTATGGACAATATTGTAACATGTCTTGTGATGTGTGCCTGGATGGGGAGTGTCTGCAGATGACAGGCACGTGCATCAAAGGCTGTCACGTGACAGGACGTGGATGTAATTCTACCTGCAGGAACTGTTCCATTGCTGATTGCACTGCTCAATCATGTGAAGGTAAACAGATTTGAATGCCGGTCGATAAACTCGTAATATTTTATTGTCGACAGGTGAATAAATACCTCCAAATTTTAAAAACAACATTTGACTTAACATTAACATAGCTGTCTAATTAAGAGGTACCATCTGCTTCACTGACATTTTAAAAGTTCTTAAAAAACAATAGAAGGTCAGTAAAAAGACCGACAATCGGAAATACCGTCGATAGGAGAAATGATTTGGGATTATCGATATGGAAAGAGTGTCTGTGATGATATCGTACATACACATATGTGATAGAATAAACTTTATATTTTCGCACACAATACACAAAATTAGGTTTTTAATCACAGATTGCTTCTAAATTATGTTCAGGATGATGTTTTGTTAGTAACCCATGCATAAACATGCTTTGAATACCCCTCAAATATTATAAAACAACAAAGTCATTCCAACCTTTAACAACATTTTGAATCAGCATCGTCTTTGCTGTCAATCAACAATTAATAAAGAAGTATTATTTTTTTATTGTCATTTGAGTAACAATAAAAGACATTATGATTTAAGATAAAAAGTTTGATGATTCATTATAATGCGGGGGGTGGGGGGTCGGATGGGGTAGCCTAGTGGTTAAAGCGTACGCTCGTCACGCCGAAGACCCGGGTTCGATTCCCCACATGGGCAAAATGTGTGAAGCCCATTTCTGGTGTCCTCCGCAGTGATATTGCTGGAATATTGCTAAAAGCGGCGTAAAATCAAACTCACTCACTCACTCATTATGATGCAACGTTTTGATATATTTTCATATACCAGTAACGTTGTAAAAACTGTACTGAAACGTCGCATAATGAAAGTATATTACAGAAGGTGTCATCCATGAAGCATGCTGGCATATATACCTTAATATCCAGACACGATAAACTCATTCTTATGTCCGTCCGTTGACAGGTGAAAATGATGAAAGTGGCGGAAGAGGTATACAAAAAGCACTGGGGACAGCATTGGTGATGTTTGGTTTCATCATCATCATGGTAATCTGCTTCGGGTGTCTGAGGCGTAAGGACTCTAAAAGGTGATTCTCATAATTATTTTTTTATTAAGGTTTCCACTGAAAACCAGACCATTTTCGTCAAGAACAGAGACCAACCAGTCTCGAATATCTACCAACACTGATATATAAGACAGCATAACTGTGGACATGATATGGACGTGTTGTTGAAAATCTGGCATGACACCAGGTGCTCGTGGAAGGGGTGAGCGTGTACTTATCAGCAAATATCACCCACCACCAGCACGTTCAGTAGAAACTAGTTTAATATTGAAGTGTGAGCTGGTATATATGACACTTTGTTAAGATATTTTCATTTGTCATTTCTTTCTTTGTCTGACCATTGTCAATTTCGAAAGATATAGAGACTGGTTATTTTCTGTTATTATTATTTTATTAGCTTTTACTAAACGTGGGCTGAGGACTTGGAGTTTCTTCATAAGTTCAGTAGTGTACATCAACTTCGCTGAATAAACTACAAGGAAATATTTTGCAGAGACAATAAAACTGCCCACCACAGTACTGAAACGTTGATATATACCTTAAAGCAGCAAAATATCTGTACTAGATCGCATCGGGCGTATGTCCCACTTAAACATAGAATACTTCAACACAATCAGAAAAGTATAGTGTCGATGGATTTCTGATTTGCCTAAAGATAGAAACCATACAGCATGAATATGCATCAAACATAATTCCTGATAATAGTCTGAGTTTTCGTGGCCTGCTTACCAGTCTGGCGAACACCTGGTGTCATTGCTGACCTACAGTGATCCATTCAAACAATTGTCATCAATGTATGGTCTTTTGCATCTGATGGAAACTGTATTTGGACCAATCTGTTATTTACATATTTTACAGCTTCAACGTTATGACAATTAATATACTGAAACTGTGTTTTGATAAGGGATCCTGCTACTATATTTTTTCAGTGAAGTGAAAATTGAGGCAAAGGTCACGTGTCCACAAGAGATCGAAGTCAGACAGTCACATGTACGCAGACAGGCACGTGACTCGGATCACATATACAGTGACATCGACGAGGATGAAATGGGTCCAGTTATAGTGTATCTTTAGTTGATACCTCATCCGGAATCTGTCAAGGATGTATTCCTTGGGGGTGTCTCAATACTAAATATAGTGAAGACTGACATTCGTGTTCTTAAAACTTCCTTTCACTGAGTTCCATCAAAGTCAAGCCTCTATCTACCTTGCATTAAACATACGTTTCGTTGAAATAAAAATGTTTCTATAATTTCCTTGCATTGTACGTACGTTTCGTTGAATTAAAAATGTTCTATAATTACCTTGCATTGTACGTACGTTTCGTTGAATTAAAAATGTTTCTATAATTACCTTGCATTGTACGTACGTTCCGTTGAAATAAAGATGTTTCTGTAATACCTGCATTGTACGTACGTACGTAAAAATGTTCTTGCAGTCGTAATAAAGATGCTTCTATATCTACCTTGCATTGTACGTACGTTCTGTTGTAAATAAGATGTTTTATTTACTTTGCATTGTACGTAAGTTCAGATGTAAATAAAGATGATGCATTGTACGTTCTATCAACTTTGCACCTTGCATTGTACGTACGTTCTGATGTAAATAAGATGCTTCTACCTATCTTGCATTGTACGTACGTTCTGTTGTAATAAAGATGCTTCTATATATATATATATATATCTACCTTGCATTGTACGTACGTTCTGTTGTAATAAAGATGTTTTATTTACTTTGCATTGTACGTAAGTTCAGATGTAAGTAAGATGTTTTATTTACTTTGCATTGTACGTAAGTTCAGATGTAAATAAGATGCTTCTATCCACTTTGCATTGTACGTACGTTCAGATGTAAATAAGATGCTTTTATCCACTTTGCATTCTACGTACGTTCAGATGTAAATAAGATGCTTTTATCCATTTTGCATTGTACGTACGTTCAGATGTAATAAAGATGCTTCTATAATTACCTTGCAGTGTATGTACGTTCCGCTGTTATAAAGATGCTTCTGTAATCCACCTTACATAGTACGTGCGTTCAGTCGTAATAAACACACTTCTGTAATCTACCTTGCATTGTACGTACGTTTGGATGTAATAAACACACTTCTGTAATCTACCTTGCATTGTACGTACGTTTGGATGTAATAAACACACTTCTGTAATCTACCTTGTATTGTACGTACGTTCTGTTGTAATAAACACGCTTCTGTAATCTACCTTGCATTGTACGTACGTTCAGTCGTAATAAACACACTTCTGTAATCTACCTTGCATTGTACGTACGTTTGGATGTAATAAAGATGCTTCTGTAATCTTCCTTGCATTGTACGTACGTTCAATACGTTGACATCGCAAAGCGGTAAAGTGCCTGAACATACAAGGATGTCTTCTGTGTCTTCCCACTTCCGGCAATATGCGTATATTTGACGCCATGCCTCAACCGGTGCCTGACATTATACAAGCATACTGCAGAGAGTGAGTGAGTAGGGTATTACGCCGCTTTTAGCAATATTCCAGTATTATCAGCTGGGGACACCAGGAATTGGCTTCACATCTCGTACCCATGTAAGGAATCGAACCCAGGTCTTCGGCGGGAAGAACAAACGCTTTAACCACTAGGCTACTCCACCGCCCCCATGGTGGAAAGTAAAATGTTAGTGAATGTCAGTCAGCTAACCATGCACAGAAAACTATTAAATGAAGCAAACACATTAATTGATGTAAAAATTTCCTTATGCTCATCTGACAAGATTTTCGGTTTCCACATCCGCGATACTTCAGCGTTGTAATGCTATCATGATAGTGTACTCACAGTGTTAAGGATTTGCCTGCTTACTCACATCTAAATACGTTTTATTACGACAGTATGAAACACACAAAAAATGTTTTTTGTCTCATATATGACTGTAATCACGATATGAAAGAGGAAGTTGTCAAAAACACCATACAAAGCAATAGAGTTAATTATTCAATCAAAAACACAAAACTCTTTTTATTGATGCATAAAGCGTGCAGCCATTATGGGAAATCCTGACAGATTCTCAAAATGTCGACAATGAACTGTTAGGCACACACCACAACACATATATTGCATTTAAGCATCAAATATGAACACATGTGACTAACTGGATGTGCAGTGTACATTCCATCATGTATAACAAGTGAACCCATGGCCAACCAGCCCTCAGTTATGTGGGTCGTTTAGAAAATAATGTGGGCCATGTGAAACTGCTGTGACCTGTTAGCCATACACTACTTGTTACTACTTTGAGCTCACTTCCTTTTCAAACTTTCAATCCAGGTGAGGTTAACAAGAGAAATATATTGATATATTAAAACAGTTAACATCAAAAAGTGTTTGAAAAATATAAATAAATAATATATGAATGAACCCAATCTTACGATTTGCTTTTTTGTTTGAATGGCGAAGACGGAAACATATTAATTTTTTAAATACAAACACCTGTTCATTCCTTTTTCTCGAAAAAATGTACGACTTTCAGACGGCGTTTTTACAGTGTCCCCCAAGGCAACACAAGTGTGAAACTGCTACATGCAAACTGATTGGTTCACTTAACGAAATCGACATATCGCAACCAATTTTAGAGAGCTCTTATTACACCGATTTTCAGGTTTCGCACTATCATTGTAAACACGGGCTGAAAGTCACGAGATGAGTTCAGAGTACTCAAACCTCGTTTCTGTGAGCATAGACAAATTGTTTTTCAAAGACGTACTTGCGTTGTGCTTGATTTGCCAAAACAAACTAGTGAGGCGTTTCAGATTTACATTTATGGATGCGCCGACACTACCCGCCCGTACCCGCACAGTGCGCCATATTAAATATTAGTGCGGTAATGGCGGGGTCTTGAATGAACACTAGAACTGTTTTATCGAATTTCAGAGAACTGTGTCAATTATTTAGATCAGGGGAATCTGGGATATAGTGAAAACGGACCCCAGTGAAAACGGCCAAAAAACATTCGAGAAAACGGCCACCGCTACAAGAGAAAACGGCCTCTTGGCCTATAGAAAACGGCCATATATATAATATTTTGCTTTTATTTGTCTCTAAATCAATATCAAAATAAGAAGGCAACAACAATGATAACAAAGTCATGGCAAGTTTTAGGTTGGACATCTACAAGTTGTATTTATGTATTATCTATTTACCACTCTTCATCTGATTGTATGAACAATGCAATATATGTCATAATGCTATATTGTTTTACAAAGTTTCATAGTCAGTACACAGGGAGTTTCAGGGTGGCTGGATAACTTAAACTGATATCTGGTCCTGAATTTTAAGTCACACCGGCAATACTTCAGCCAGACTAAAACATGTTATAATTTCATAATAATTAAAGGTCAATCACAAACGCCTGTCACCAAAGGACAGTAAAAGAGCTAGTTTATCGCAGATATAAATTTTTATAACTAGAAATTAAATTTAAAACATTTAAACTACAGATGATAATACAATATAAAAACAGGCTATAGCTAGCCAACAACTGAAGGAAGATCACCATACTAGGAACCATGGCAGAACTACAAGAACAAAGGTTGGAAACAGTACTACTGATCCGCTCGTCGATATATACACTACCTTATCATGTTTTTTCTCTATCATCAACTAATCTTACCTGTAAAATCTATAATCAATCAAATCAGTTTATTTATCGTAACTATGGAAACAACCAATCAATCTTCAAAGGTTAAATCGCTATGGATATGGAAACTAACCAAAAACAATTAATCATGTTTCAAAAGCTTATCCGCAATGAAGTAAATTTCTATTATTCAGGATAAATCATATAATCTCTTTTAATCTTGGTGCAACATTGTTGGCCATTTTCTCTAAGCACAGATACCGTTTTCTCCAAGCACAGATACCGTTTTCTCTAGGCACAGATACCGTTTTCTCTAAGCACAGATACCGTTTTCTCTAGACACAGATACCGTTTTCTCCTGGCACAGATACCGTTTTCTCTAAGCACAGATACCGTTTTCTCTAAGCACAGATACCGTTTTCTCTAAGCACAGATACCGTTTTCTCTAAGCACAGATACCATCTTCTCCTGGCACAGACACCGTTTTCTCTAAACACAGATACCATCTTCTCCTGGCACAGATACCGTTTTCTCCGGGCACAGATACCGTTTCCTCTAGGCACAGATACCGTTTTTTCCTGGCACAGATACCGTTTTCTCCTGGCACAGATACCGTTTTCTCTAGGCACAGATACCGTTTTCTCCTGGCACAGATACCGTTTTCTCCTGGCACAGATACCGTTTTCTCTAGCCACAGATACCGTTTTCTAGGCACAGATACTGTTTTCTGCTGGCACAGATACCGTTTTCTCCAGGCACAGATACCATTTTCTCTAAGCACAGATACTGTTTTCTCTAAGCACAGATACCGTTTTCTCTAAACACCAATACGGTATTCTCTAGGCACAGATACCGTTTTCTCTAGGCACAGATACCGTTTTCTCTAAGCACAGATACGGTTTTCTCTAAGCACAGATACCGTTTTTCTCAGATAGCACAGATACAGATACCGTTTTCTCCTGGCACAGATACCGTTTTCTCCTGGCACAGATACCGTTTTCTCCTGGCACAGATACCGTTTTCTCCTGGCACAGATACCGTTTTCTCTCCTGGCACAGATACCGTTTTTTCTCTAAGCACAGATACCGTTTTCTAAGCACAGAAGCACAGATACCGTTTTCTCCAAGCACAGATACCGTTTTCTCCTGGCACAGATACCGTTTTCTCCTGGCACAGATACCGTTTCTCTAGGCACAGATACCGTTTTCTCCAGGCACAGATACCGTTTCCTCCTGGCACAGATACCGTTTCCTCCTGGCACAGATACCGTTTTCTCTAGGCACAGATACCGTTTTCTCTAAGCACAGATACCTTTTTCTCTAAGTACAGATACAATCTTCTCCTGGCACAGATACCGTTTCCTCTAAGCACAGATACCGTTTTCTCTAAGCAAAGATACCTTTATGTCTAGGCACAGATACCGTTTTCTCTAGATACTGATACCGTTTTCTCCTGGCACAGATACTGTTTTCTCTAAGCACAGATACCGTTTTCTCTAGGCACAGATGCCATTTTCTCTAAGCACAGATACCGTTTTCTCTAAGCACAGATACTGTTTTCTTCTGGCACAGATACCGTTTTCTCCAAGCACTGATACCGTTTTCTCCTGGCATAGATAGTGTTTTCTCCAAGCACAGATACCGTTTTCTCTAAGCACAGATACCGTTTTCTCTAGGCACAGATACCGTTTCCTCCAGGTACAGATACCGTTTTCTCTAGGCACAGATACTGTTTTCTCTAAGCACAGATACCGTTTTCTCTAAGCACAGATGCCATTTTCTCTAAGCACAGATACCGTTTTCTCTAAGCACAGATACTGTTTTCTGTAGGCACAGATACCGTTTCTCTAGGCACAGATACCGTTTTCTCTAAGCACAGATACCGTTTTCTCCTGGCACAGATACCGTTTTCTCCAAGCACTGATACCGTTTTCTCCAGGCACAGATACCGTTTTCTCCTGGCACAGATACCGTTTTCTCTAAGCACAGATACCGTTTTCTCTAGGCACAGATACCGTTTTCTCCTGGCACAGATACCGTTTCCTCCTGGCACAGATACCGTTTTCTCTAGGCACAGATACCGTTTTCTCTAAGCACAGATACCTTTTTCTCTAAGCACAGATACCGTTTTCTCCTGGCACAGATACCGTTTCCTCTAAGCACAGATACCGTTTTCTCTAAGCAAAGATACCTTTTTGTCTAGGCACAGATACCGTTTTCTCTAGATACAGATACCGTTTTCTCCTGGCACAGATACTGTTTTCTCTAAGCACAGATACCGTTTTCTCTAGGCACAGATGCCATTTTCTCTAAGCACAGATACCGTTTTCTCTAAGCACAGATACTGTTTTCTGTAGGCACAGATACCGTTTCTCTAGGCACAGATACCGTTTTCTCTAAGCACAGATACCGTTTTCTCCTGGCACAGATACCGTTTTCTCAAAGGACTGATACCGTTTTCTCCTGGCACAGATACCGTTTTCTCTAAGCACAGATACCGTTTTCTCTAAGCACAGATACCGTTTCCTCTAGGTACAGATACCGTTTTCTCTAGGCACAGATACCGTTTTCTCTAGGCACAGATACCGTTTTCTCTAAGCACAGATACCGTTTTCTCTAAGCATTTTCTCCTGGCACAGATACCGTTTTCTCTAAGCACAGATACCGTTTTCTCCTGGCACAGATACCGTTTTCTCCAAGCACAGATACCGTTTTCTCCTTGCACAGATACCGTTTTTTCCTGGCACAGATACCGTTTTCTCCTTGCACAGATACCGTTTTCTCCTGGCACAGATACCGTTTTCTCTGGCACAGATACCGTTTTCTCTAAGCACAGATACCGTTTTCTCCTGGCACAGATACCGTTTTCTCTAAGCACAGATACCGTTTTCTCTAAGCACAGATACCGTTTTCTCTAGGTACAGATACCGTTTTCTCTAGGCACAGATACCTTTTTCTCTAAGCACAGATACCGTTTTCTCTAAGCACAGATACCATTTTTCCTGGCACAGATACTGTTTTCTCCTGGCACAGATACCGTTTTCTTTTAGCACAGATACCTTTTTCTTTAAGCCCATATACCGTTTTCTCTCGGTTCGGAAGCCGTTCTCTCCAGGGCGGTGGCCGTTTTCTCGATTTTTGCGGTCCGTTTTCGCTGGTGTCTGTTTTCTCCGTATCCTGGGAAACCGCAGGTCAGTTTCAGAATGTTTCAATACTGTGATACATCCTCCTGCTAAATATTCTTTACCACTGCCTAGGTAGCATGCTGATAACATTGGCACAACACGTGTTGCTCTCTGATGGTGTTGATCAAGAACTTTGTTATCAGATCTCAGCCCTTTCCTGTTTCCGCTGACTTACCGTTCCTACTTTTCTGAGCTGAGCGGTAACACTTAAATACATTCAAACCGTCTATCTGTAACTAGCAACTTCTTCACCATATGCAAAACGGCTCCTGTCCAGTCGCTTGCCCAATCTTGAAGACTAAACATCCATGGGACCAAGATCTCTGCGAGCTTTTTGACCAGCAGGTTGCCCAATCTTGTAGACACAACATCAATGCTGTTTGAAGAAGCTCATGGAGTCCCTTACAAACTTGCAGTCGGGGAAGGCACATAGTCGAGGACATAGTCTTGTCGATTACTGAAATGTACAAGAAAGGAAGTATATACAACTGTGGCGACAAATAAAATGTTTTCTCGATGGCGTGTTTTTATCAATAATGGTATCCCAGATGTGTCTATATACACCCTACGTAATATTTTCATAAAATTTTCATAACATTTTCATGATAATCTGTTGATTGAATCCATTGGTAGCGTGGTCTTCATACAATTGCCAACGAGCTCATCACAAAATCGTCCCCAAGCAAATGTCATCCTAGATTCTTTAGTCTTTCCCACTTTCAATTAGGTGACATGTAATTGGGACACTAACTTTAGTATGATCAGCTCTTCATTTTATTATTTTATTTCTTTCTTGTTCTATAGATGTTTACACGCCTTGATATTGCCAGAATAAAAGCTGCGTAAACCTAAACTCACACACTCTCTCAATTATAGATGTTTACACATATGTACATTTGATTTTACATAGAATATACCTGTAAATATTAGTGTTCATGGCATGCATCATATAAATGCATTTTTGTTCATACCAAATTTCATTCAGCTGCGAGATATCTGCTCCCAAGAAGTACCACCTGTTGTCATGCTGCAAGACGTTTCCCTGACTTCACCATAGTCGTCTGGTTGTTCAAGAATGTCTCTTGTCTGTCGAGTCTCGGTATCTGGGAGGGGTAAGTGAGAATCTAGAAGACGTCATTGTCTACAATCTGGTCATTTGACATGTCTATTTGAACTCATATACATTTTACTATACTGCGTTCAAAATGGATATCAATTAGAAATATAGCACTACCTCTTTTCCTATCCATATACAGGAATACTACATAAACATTTTTTCAAAGTATACATTGACTTTGATACAAAATAATACCTTAATGTAAGGTCTTTAAATGTTATGCATTTGTTTAATCACTTTTTAAATATGCTGTCTGCTGAAGGCGACCTCTGGCCAATAAGCATCAGCCAACCCCATGCTGTATGATACAGCTTAAAGGCAAGGCACCTGAAATGGAACTCGTGTTAGTTCAAACAGCAATCCCTCTGATCAGAGTAACTTCTGACAGTTGGCCATTACAGTATACAGACTGTGTACAGGCGAATGATTGACCCATATACCCGATGGAAAGCAGAGCATTTTTAATTTTTTCCTCCTGTGAGACATCCGAGCTGATATCATCCATGATAGCGTCATTAGTATTTTAGAAATAAACGTAAAACTGTCAACTAAAATCTAACAGTACTTCCCTGAATTGTTTGTGTGGTCAACAAAGTAAAGAGGCATAAGTTATCTATTAGATCAGTCAGATGTATGTTCTATATCTCTCTTGGCCCAGAGAATATTCTAAAAGCGTGTCTAAAATATAAATTCCTGACTAAATGATGTTGTGTGTTTGGTTGACATTACCAGAATTCCGACAAATTCTCCATTCCCTCAGTCTGCAAACAAGAATCAGAATTCTGAAAACAAAAGTAAAGAAAAAATGTATGTATTCATCCACTTTTGTGTTCTATCTCTTGTCATACGGGATGACTATTTCATATATCGCAAACAAATCCCGATTGCAGGAACTTGGTAATACTGTGTGGTCCAGCACGTAGAGGTCACAAATCAGTTGGTCACGGAGAGTACTTGGATGGGTGACCGTGTTTGGCAGCTTGACTCCTGTGAGTTTCAACGAAGCACGCGTGACACATGTGGTCGCACCTGAGGCAAGTGAGTTTGTTGAAAATTGCCCGTGTTCACCCCGCAGTGAATGGGTACCCGGTAGGATATGTCAAATGACTGGTAACCTTCTAGCAGATTGGGTTAACCTGGGTAATAAATTGTTAGCGCCTTGAGCATGCACAAGTGTGTGGATACAGGCGCTTTATAAACAGCCATTATTAGATTATAATTATTATCATCATATTCAAAATATATGTTATACTTCATCTCTACTTCCTCATTTGGCAACCCGGGAAGACCCGGGCTAGAATTGGTATTCAGCAATCCATGTTTGTCGTAAGAGGCGACTTACGGATCGGGATGTCAGGCTCACTGACTTGGTTGTCACATGTCATCGTATTCCAATTGCGGAGATTGATGCTCTTGTTGTTGATCACTGGATCGTATGGTACAGATTCAATTACTCACAGACCGCCGCCATATAGCTGGAATGTTGCTGAGTGTGGCGTTAAACAACAAATAGATAACTCCTCAACCAACAAGCCTCCTGGAACGGACACAGAATGAAAATGATAATTTCCTAAGAAGGGTAGTGACTGCTTAAGTTAACATGATATATCAAATTATTACAGATACTTACAGGGGTATTTAGTGAGCATAAGCAGGTGGTGGTTAAAAGTAATGATAATTGAAGGCATGTCCGATTAATGCTCCTGGAAGACACGAGTCTTGTCCCGAAATGACGCGAGTTGGTCACGCTTGTTTTGCAGGAACTAGTGTGTCAATGCGTTTGTCATATTTAAAGTGAAAATAAACATAACTTACTGTGTGACACCGCATCCGCAGAGTACAACCACAACCAGGACAAACAAGATGAACCAGGGACGGCTGTCTACGTCGACGTTGTGATCAGTGTCTGCTGATGCTACAGTGAAACGTAAACAATCTATAGAAATATAAATATTTCAAATCTATATGATTTCAGTGACATATTGTTTGAATAATTGCTCGTTAACTTTCAACATTTGATGTGAACTTACGGATGTGTCGAGCTACGGTTGTGTCGAACTATGGATGTGTCGATTTTACGATGCGTCGAGCTTAGGGTTGTATCGAGCTTATGGATGTGTCGAGCTTACGGAAGTGTCGAACTTACGGATGTGCCAAACGTACGGTTTTTCGAACTTATAGATGTGTCGAATATATGGTTATGTCGAACTTACGGAAGTGTCGAACTTCTTATAACGAAGTATTTTGGTATGTTCCCTTAATTTTGACACAACGGTGTTTCTTCTTTGGCATTTTTAGAAGTTGAAGTGTCAGATAAGGACAAACTTTATGGATGAACAACTTCTTTAAACGGGAGGTGCGACATTTAAATACAGATTCTTGTATCGTTGCATGCCTGTTTGTCATTATCTAAACAATGGCGTTTCACTTAAAGTGGACTCCGCACTTCTACAACCTATTCCGTCCTTAGGACCAGTCTCTTCAAGCTTTTGTCTGAACGTGTCTCCCCTGTCTGCGCTTTGAGCGCGATATTAAGAATAGATGAGCGCAAACAAATTGACTATTATTGTTGAATTATTTCATACCTGAGCCAATCTCACAGAAATCCCCGAGTGTGTTCTCGGAGCATCCCAAGGTACACTGTCCATTCTGCTGGTTACAGACACTCAAGAGACACGTCTTGCTGCACGGTTGGTCACACAGATCGCCATACCAGCCAGCGACACATCCTTCAGAGCATCTCCCTGTTTCCCGGTGACAGTGACGAACCTGCCTGAACTCATTCACTGCACATTCCTGGGGGCAGGTTCGTTCACACGTGTCCCCATACTTTCCCCACTCACAGCCAAATGCACGACGGAGGTCTGAACCTTGAACATGAAAATGAAAATTCATGTCAACATCTATTTCATAAATACCCGTTCTTTGTCGACGCTGACTGGAGTACAACATTTAGACATTCGAAATTTATGGTCGTATTTTTATAAAACATCATACATTATAATGGGAAGGTTTTGTTTCCGTCTGTTTTATTTTATTTATGATTGGTTTCTTTGTTTATCGCACTCCGCAATATTCCAGCTATATTCCAGCGGTCTGTAAACAATCGAGTCTCGACCAGACAATCCAGTGACTAATAAGCGTCGATCTACGCAATTGGGACACGATGACGTGTGTCAACCAAGTCAGTGAGCCTGACCACCCGATCCCGCATGGATTGCTGAAACGGTAGTGCAGGAGTATAACGGTAGAATAGGAGTATAACGATAGTACAGGAGTATAACGGTAGTACAGGAGTATAACGGTAGTACAGGAGTATAACGGTAGAATAGGAGTATAATAGGTATAACGGTAGTACAGGAGTATAACGGTAGTACAGGAGTATAACGGTATAACGATAGTACAGGAGTATAACGGTAGTACAGGAGTATAACGATAGTACAGGAGTATAACGGTAGTGCAGGAGTATAACGATAGAATAGGAGTATAACGGTAGTACAGGAGTATAACGATAGAACAGGAATTATAACGGTAGTACGGTAGAGGAGAATTATAACGGTAGTACAGGAGTATAACGGTAGTACAGGAGTATAACGGTAGAATAGGAGTATAACGGTAGTACAGGAGTATAACGGTAGTACAGTATAACGGTAGTACAGAATTATAACGGTAGTACAGGAGTATAACGATAGTATAAGGTATAACGGTAGTAGTGAGAGTATAACGTAGTAGTATAAGGAGTATAACGATAGTACAGAAGTATAACGGTACAGGGTATAACGGTAGTACAGGAGTATAACGGTAGTACAGGAGTATAACGGTAGTACAGGAGTATAACGGTAGTACAGGATTATATAACGGTAGTACAGGAGTATAACGGTAGTACAGGAGTATAACGGTAGTACAGGAATTATAACGGTAGTACAGGAGTATAACGGTAGTACAGGAGTATAACGGTAGTGCAGGAGTATAACGGTAGTACAGGAGTATAACGGTAGTACAGAATTAGTATAACGAATTATAACGGTAGTACAGGAGTATAACGGATAGTACAGGAGTATAACGGTAGTACAGGAGTATAACGGTAGTACAGGAGTATAACGGTAGTACAGGAGTATAACGGTAGAACTGGAGTATAACGGTAGTACAGGAGTATAACGATAGAACAGGAGTATAACGGTAGTACAGGAGTATAACGGTAGTACAGGAGTATAACGGTAGTACAGGAGTATAACGGTAGTACAGGAGTATAACGGTAGTACAGGAGTATAACGGTAGTACAGGAGTATAACGGTAGTACAGGAGTATAACGGTAGTGCAGGAGTATAACGGTAGTACAGGGTATAACGATAGTACAGGAGTATAACGATAGTACAGCAGAAGTATAACGGTAGTACAGGAGTATAACGGTAGTACAGGAATAACGGTATAACAGTAGTACAGGAGTATAACGGTAGTACAGGGTATAACGGTAGTACAGGAGATATAACGGTAGTATAATTATAACAGTAGTACAGGAAGTATAACGGTAGTACAGGAAGTATAACGGTAGTACAGAAGTATAACGGTAGTGCAGGAGTATAACGGTACGCAGGAGTATAACGGTAGTACAGAATTATAACGGTAGTACAGGAGTATAACGGTAGTAACAGCATTATAACGGTAGTACAGCAGTATAACGGTAGTGCAGAGTATAACGGTAGAATAGGAGTATAACGATAGTACAGGAGTATAACGGTAGTACAGGAGTATAACGGTAGTACAGGAGTATAACGGTAGAACAGGAGTATAACGGTAGTACAGGAGTATAACGGTAGTACAGGAGTATAACGATAGTACAGGAGTATAACGGTAGTACAGGAGTATAACGATAGTACAGGAGTATAACGGTAGTGCAGGAGTATAACGATAGAATAGGAGTATAACGGTAGTACAGGAGTATAACGATAGAATAGGAGTATAACGGTAGTACAGGAGTATAACGGTAGTACAGGAGTATAACGGTAGTACAGGAGTATAACGGTAGAACAGGAGTATAACGGTAGTACAGGAGTGGTATTATAACGGTAGTACAGGAATTATAACGATAGTACAGGAGTATAACGGTAGTACAGGAGTATAACGGTAGTACAGGAGTATAACGATAGTACAGGAGTATAACGGTAGTACAGGAGTATAACGGTAGTACAGGAGTATAACGGTAGTGCAGGAGTATAACGGTAGTGCAGGAGTATAACGGTAGAATAGGAGTATAACGATAGTACAGGAGTATAACGGTAGTACAGGAGTATAACGGTAGTACAGGAGTATAACGGTAGAATAGGAGTATAACGATAGTACAGGAGTATAACGGTAGTACAGGAGTATAACGGTAGTGCAGGAGTATAACGGTAGTACAGGAGTATAACGGTAGTGCAGGAGTATAACGGTAGTACAGGAGTATAACGGTAGTACAGGAGTATAACGGTAGTACAGGAGTATAACGATAGTACAGGAGTATAACGGTAGAACAGGAGTATAACGGTAGAACTGGAGTATAACGGTAGTACAGGAGTATAACGATAGAATAGGAGTATAACGGTAGTACAGGAGTATAACGGTAGTACAGGAGTATAACGGTAGTACAGGAGTATAACGGTAGAACAGGAGTATAACGATAGAATAGGAGTATAACGGTAGTACAGGAGTATAACGGTAGTACAGGAGTATAACGGTAGTGCAGGAGTATAACGGTAGTGCAGGAGTATAACGATAGTACAGGAGTATAACGGTAGAACAGAATTATAACGGTAGTACAGGGTATAACGGTAGTACAGGGTATAAAGGTAGTATAACATAGGAGTATAACGATAGTGCAGGAATTATAACGATAGTACAGGAGTATAACGGTAGTACAGGAGTATAACGATAGTACAGGAGTATAACGGTAGTACAGGAGTATAACGGTAGTAACTACAGGAGTATAACAGTAGAATAGGAAGTATAACGGTAGTACAGGAAGTATAACGTAGAACAGTAGTGTAGTAGAGTATAACGGTATTGATATTACAAATTATAGTGCAGGAGTATAACGGTAGTGCAGAAGTATAACGGTAGTGCAGGAGTATAACGATAGTACAGGAGTATAACGATAGTACAGGGAGTATAACGGTAGTAACGGTAGGGTATAACGGTAGAATAGATAGAGGTATAACGGTAGTACAGGAGTATAACGGTAGTACAGTAGTAGGAGTATAACTTGGTAGAATAGGAGTATAACGGTAGTACAGGAGTATAACGGTAGTGCAGGAGTATAACGGTAGTGCAGGAGTATAACGGTAGTACAGGAGTATAACGGTAGTACAGGAGTATAACGGTAGTACAGAAGTATAACGATAGTACAGGAGTATAACGGTAGTACAGGAGTATAACGGTAGTACAGGAGTATAACGGTAGTGCAGGAGTATAACGGTAGTGCAGAAGTATAACAGTAACAGTAGAATAGAAGGAGTATAACGATAGTACAGGGTATAACGGTAGTACAGGAAGTATAACGGTAGTGCAGGAGTATAACGGTAGAATAGGAGTATAACGATAGTACAGGAGTATAACGGTAGTACAGGAGTATAACGGTAGTGCAGGAGTATAACGGTAGTACAGGAGTATAACGGTAGTGCAGGAGTATAACGGTAGTACAGGAGTATAACGGTAGTACAGGTATAACGGTAGTACAGGAGTATAACGATAGTACAGGAGTATAACGGTAGAACAGGAGTATAACGGTAGAACTGGAGTATAACGGTAGTACAGGAGTATAACGATAGAACAGGAGTATAACGGTAGTACAGGAGTATAACGGTAGTACAGGAGTATAACGGTAGTACAGGAGTATAACGGTAGTACAGGAGTATAACGATAGAATAGGAGTATAACGGTAGTACAGGAGTATAACGGTAGTACAGGAGTATAACGGTAGTGCAGGAGTATAACGGTAGTGCAGGAGTATAACGATAGTACAGGAGTATAACGGTAGAACAGGAGTATAACGGTAGTACAGGAGTATAACGGTAGTACAGGAGTATAAAGGTAGAATAGGAGTATAACGATAGTGCAGGAGTATAACGATAGTACAGGAGTATAACGGTAGTACAGGAGTATAACGATAGTACAGGAGTATAACGGTAGTACAGGAGTATAACGGTAGTACAGGAGTATAACGGTAGTGCAGGAGTATAACGGTAGTACAGGAGTATAACGGTAGTACAGGAGTATAACGGTAGTACAGGAGTATAACGGTAGTAACAGGAGTATAACAGTAGTACGATAGGAGTATAACGGTAGTACAGAATTATAACGTATACAGAATAGGAGAATTATAACGGTAGTATAACAGAATTATAACGGTAGTACAGGAATTATAACGGTAGAACAGGAGTATAACGAACGGCATACGATAGTACAGGAGTATAACGGTAGTACAGGAGTATAACGGTAGTGCAGGAATTATAACGGTAGTACAGGGTATAACGGTAGTACAGGAGTATAACGGTAGTACAGGAGTATAACGGTAGTGCAGGAATTATAACGGTAGTACAGGAGTATAACGGTAGTACAGGAGTATAACGGTAGTACAGAATTATAACGATAGTATAGGATTATAACGGTAGTACAGGAATTATAACGATAGTACAGGAGTATAACAGTAGTACAGGAGTATAACGGTAGTACAGGAGTATAACGGTAGAATAGGAGTATAACGGTAGTACAGGAGTATAACGGTAGTACAGGAGTATAACGGTAGTGCAGGAGTATAACGGTAGTACAGGAGTATAACGGTAGTACAGGAGTATAACGGTAGAATAGGAGTATAACGGTAGTACAGGAGTATAACGGTAGTGTAGGAGTATAACGGTAGTGCAGGAGTATAACGGTAGTGCAGGAGTATAACGGTAGTGCAGGAGTATAACGATAGTACAGGAGTATAACGATAGTACAGGAGTATAACGGTAGTACAGGAGTATAACGGTAGAATAGGAGTATAACGGTAGTACAGGAGTATAACGGTAGTACAGGAGTATAACGGTAGAATAGGAGTATAACGGTAGTACAGGAGTATAACGGTAGTGCAGGAGTATAACGGTAGTGCAGAGGAGTATAACGGTAGTACAGGAGTATAACGGTAGTACAGGAGTATAACGGTAGTACAGGAGTATAACGATAGTACAGGAGTATAACGGTAGTACAGGAGTATAACGGTAGTACAGGAGTATAACGGTAGTGCAGGAGTATAACGGTAGTGCAGGAGTATAACGGTAGAATAGGAGTATAACGATAGTACAGGAGTATAACGGTAGTACAGGAGTATAACGGTAGTGCAGGAGTATAACGGTAGAATAGGAGTATAACGATAGTACAGGAGTATAACGGTAGTACAGGAGTATAACGGTAGTGCAGGAATATAACGGTAGTACAGGAGTATAACGGTAGTGCAGGAGTATAACGGTAGTACAGGAGTATAACGGTAGTACAGGAGTATAACGGTAGTACAGGAGTATAACGATAGTACAGGAGTATAACGGTAGAACAGGAGTATAACGGTAGAACTGGAGTATAACGGTAGTACAGGAGTATAACGATAGAACAGAATTATAACGGTAGTACAGTAGTGCAGAGTATAACGGTAGTACAGTGAGTATAACGGTAGTACAGGGTATAACGATAGAATAGGAATAGGAGTATAACGGTAGTACAGGAGTATAACGGTAGTACAGGAGTATAACGGTAGTGCAGGAGTATAACGGTAGTGCAGGAGTATAACGATAGTACAGGAGTATAACGGTAGAACAGGAGTATAACGGTAGTACAGGAGTATAACGGTAGTACAGGAGTATAAAGGTAGAATAGGAGTATAACGATAGTGCAGGAGTATAACGATAGTACAGGAGTATAACGGTAGTACAGGAGTATAACGATAGTACAGGAGTATAACGGTAGTACAGGAGTATAACGGTAGTGCAGGAGTATAACGGTAGTGCAGGAGTATAACGGTAGTACAGGAGTATAACGGTAGTACAGGAGTATAACGGTAGTGCAGGAGTATAACGGTAGTACAGGAGTATAACGGTAGTACAGGAGTATAACGATAGAATAGGAGTATAACGGTAGTACAGGAGTATAACGGTAGTACAGGAGTATAACGGTAGAATAGGAGTATAACGGTACTACAGGAGTATAACGGTAGTACAGGAGTATAACGGTAGTGCAGGAGTATAACGGTAGTGCAGGAGTATAACGGTAGTACAGGAGTATAACGGTAGTACAGGAGTATAACGGTAGTGCAGGAGTATAACGGTAGTACAGGAGTATAACGGTAGTACAGGAGTATAACGGTAGTACAGGAGTATAACGATAGAATAGGAGTATAACGGTAGTACAGGAGTATAACGATAGTACAGGAGTATAACGGTAGTACAGGAGTATAACGGTAGAACAGGAGTATAACGGTAGGAGTATAACGGTAGAATAGGAGTATAACGGTAGTACAGGAGTATAACGGTAGTACAGGAGTATAACGGTAGTACAGGAGTATAACGGTAGTACAGGAGTATAACGATAGTACAGGAGTATAACGGTAGTACAGGAGTATAACGGTAGTACAGGAGTATAACGATAGTACAGGAGTATAACGGTAGTACAGGAGTATAACGGTAGTACAGGAGTATAACGGTAGTACAGGAGTATTAGTGCAGGAGTATAACGGTAGTGCAGAAGTATAACGGTAGAATAGAATACAACGATATAACAGAGTATAACGATAGTACAGGATTATAACGGTAGTACAGGAATTATAACGGTAGTGCAGGAGTATAACGGTAGTACAGGAGTATAACGGTAGTGCAGGAGTATAACGGTAGAATAGGAGTATAACGGTAGAATAGGAGTATAACGGTAGTACAGGAGTATAACGATAGAATAGGAGTATAACGGTAGTACAGGAGTATAACGGTAGTACAGGAGTATAACGGTAGAATAGGAGTATAACGGTACTACAGGAGTATAACGGTAGTACAGGAGTATAACGGTAGTGCAGGAGTATAACGGTAGTGCAGGAGTATAACGGTAGTACAGGAGTATAACGGTAGTACAGGAGTATAACGGTAGTGCAGGAGTATAACGGTAGTACAGGAGTATAACGGTAGTACAGGAGTATAACGGTAGTACAGGAGTATAACGATAGAATAGGAGTATAACGGTAGTACAGGAGTATAACGATAGTACAGGAGTATAACGGTAGTACAGGAGTATAACGGTAGTACAGGAGTATAACGGTAGAATAGGAGTATAACGGTAGTACAGGAGTATAACGGTAGTACACAGAGTATAACGGTAGTGCAGGAGTATAACGGTAGTACAGGAGTATAACGATAGTACAGGAGTATAACGGTAGTACAGGAGTATAACGGTAGTACAGGAGTATAACGATAGTACAGGAGTATAACGGTAGTACAGGAGTATAACGGTAGTACAGGAGTATAACGGTAGTGCAGGAGTATAACGGTAGTGCAGGAGTATAACGGTAGAATAGGAGTATAACGATAGTACAGGAGTATAACGGTAGTACAGGAGTATAACGGTAGTGCAGGAGTATAACGGTAGTACAGGAGTATAACGGTAGTGCAGGAGTATAACGGTAGAATAGGAGTATAACGGTAGAATAGGAGTATAACGGTAGTACAGGAGTATAACGGTAGTACAGGAGTATAACGGTAGTGCAGGAGTATAACGGTAGAACTGGAGTATAACGGTAGTGCAGGAGTATAACGGTAGTACAGGAGTATAACGGTAGTGCAGGAGTATAACGGTAGAATAGGAGTATAACGGTAGAACAGGAGTATAACGGTAGAACAGGAGTATAACGGTAGTACAGGAGTATAACGGTAGTACAGGAGTATAACGGTAGTACAGGAGTATAACGGTAGTACAGGAGTATAACGGTAGTACAGGAGTATAACGGTAGTACAGGAGTATAACGGTAGAACAGGAGTATAACGGTAGAACAGGAGTATAACGGTAGTACAGGAGTATAACGGTAGTACAGGAGTATAACGGTAGTACAGGAGTATAACGGTAGAATAGGAGTATAACGATAATACAGGAGTATAACGGTAGTACAGGAGTATAACGGTAGTACAGGAGTATAACGTTAGAACAGGAGTATAACGGTAGTACAGGAGTATAACGGTAGAACAGGAGTATAACGGTAGAACTGGAGTATAACGGTAGTACAGGAGTATAACGATAGTACAGGAGTATAACGGTAGTACAGGAGTATAACGATAGTACAGGAGTATAACGGTAGAACAGGAGTATAACGGTAGAACAGATTACGTAGGTACTGAGGAGCTAGACCATGGACACTTTTGAAAACAAGGAGTAGAGTTTTATATATTTAACCCTTCACCTCACACGACGCAGCGTCCATGCAATCATTAAATGCTTTGTGACGTCTTCAGCTTATGATCTCCATGGAAACTGAAGATAACTACGAATGGAGAGATCACACAATAATATATGTTTTCCTACAAGTGACAAAACCTCTATACATTTAATAATTGGTGTACTAAATTCTTCTTCAAGTAAGAGTTTTCGTCTCCAAAGTTCGTGGTGACGACCTCTGACTCTGTTCCTCATTCCTATTAATATAAACAATACACTTAACTTCTTTACGGGGCTTTCATTTAGTGACTGTGGGTGAGAGGTTAAGAAAACATCATAAATATATATTAATCCAACTGATTGTGTTGGTGGTACTCAGACGTAATGAGAACCAAGAAAAGTGAAAGCCATCCCCAGTTGCGCCATAGTATATGCCAATAACTAAGAAGTACAGTTTGCTCTGTCCCATGTTATAAGAGTACTGATGTCCTGAGCGGTCCCAGTTGAAGTACGATGACGTCAGACAAGACAGGCTGCTGATGTAAGCTGACCAAGGACATACAGATAGGAACTTACACAACAGAACAAGTAGTCTGGTAAATGACACCATGATTTGTATTACTCGTCACCGACCTGCAAATAGAGAGAAGACAACTTGAACACCAACAACAGAACTAGGTACCTTTGTATAGCTATGTAGAAGTATGTTGGTACAAATTTGGTTGACTTGTTATTTCCCTGGCATCGGTTCACACTCTACATACTCCGATTAAATAGATTTCAAAATAATGGTGAGTTACATGGCATGTCAAGTTGCAGCGTGTTACATATGTGTCTTGAGTGTATGTACCCAAGACACCAGCTCATGAGTGAGTGAGTGAGTTAGAATGGCTTTACGCTGCTTCTAACAATAGTCCAGCAATATAACGGCGGGGTACACCGGAAATGGGCTCAACACATAGTTCTGTTATAAGGTTACAAATGCATCTCATATACAAGAAATGTACTGGAGATTCTGCCGATTTACTTTGCTGTTTCAAGAAACTTGCTTTCATACTACGGACAGTAGATTCGTTCACTTTCTTCTTCAGTTCACAAGAGTACTTACGGGCTGCCTTCTTAACACCATGTTCAATCGCATACACAGCAATTTTCGCCCGTACTTCCGCATCATAGTTTTAGTATTCCCCACGTTTCCTTTTACGGAATGATGTGTCACTTGTCGCCATTTCTTCCTCAAGTAGATCTACTGCAGCATTTGCAGCGATTACAATTTCGATCTCAGTGTCATCTTTACACTCATTTGGATCTGGAAGTCCAGGTGTCTTGGGGGTAGGTGCTTTCTTTAACCACATTCGCAATGCCAACGTCAGGTCGTCAGAATTCGGAACATAAGACTGATGTGTTTTTCATCTCTTTATATACTAGTACTTGCATCACGATATCTCACTTCCTAAGCACTTAATACTTCCGTGAGTAAACGGATTGCTGTGTACTAGTATATCGCACAGATAGGGATTTCCTGTGAGTAAGCAATAAACGCCGCCTGACAGGTTAAGCCACTCTGTTTGTTTTCACTGCTATTAGTGGCGGCCAAAGAGACAGCTGGCAGTTCCGACAATTACCGATTGCGCGAATAATTGACCGCGCGATGTAGTCTAAACTGTCAATTCCGCGAAAATTGCACCACGCGAAAATAAGTACGTTTACAGTATCACAAATCCATTATTGAGAATTACGGTTATTTCGTGGGGATAGATGCTATTATAATGGATGCTATCACTGCTTGGTAATAATCCAAGGGTAGAGAACAGAATAACTGTCGCTAACAGAGCATAAAAGTCCATTAAAGTAGCACTTAACGGTGAATTATCGAGTAGTTGACAGTGATTTCCGATCACAAGGTACGACATGAGACCATGGAATGATGTAACTTTAACCGAATCATCAAGGTTGTATCGGGACATGTGACAAGGGCGGAGCTGGCTGGAACACCTTAAAAAGATACTGTTAGCACTATAGAGTGGTGCGGGTTTCAAAGTCGGCAGAACGTTCGCATAACGATCGCGCAGTTCCATATCTGCTATAGAGCTTGCCGTGTCCTGTCCTGCCCAACTCACCTTGCAATGACGCGAGAGATCGAGTAAACCTATGTGAGTATAGAACCTAGTGTTGAGTTATTCATTGTATGCCAGAAAGCCAGTACATGAATGCAATGTTGTAGTCGTCTGACCTCTCACTCCTAGACTTAACATTGCCCGTGGATCAAGCGAGTGTGTAACTTGAGCTAACATCACCCCACTCTCCTACCCAGAGTTCCATGCGGCAAGCCAGCATAGTACCTCTGCCACAGGCCAGAAATTCGTCACTTCTTGCACCGTCCATTCAATATAATCTACATTTTTCTTAACTCTTTTATTTTTGACGAGTCTATACATCAAATTAAACATCTTTGATAGAATGGTTTTGTTTAACTGAGAAAATATCCTAAAACATGTAACACTATTTCGATTTGCGTAGCGATCCTTTGTTTACATAGGTTGTACGGCTCCACGTGCTGTCATCGAACTGATGGAGAGCAAACGATGCAACCAGATTGATATCTAAATATGTTCTGTCATAGACCTTACTGTCGCAGTTGTGGAAGAATATATATGTAACAATGTAAAACATTGTGAAGAGCGCGCCGAAAAGTTTGCGTAAGGCCAGTCTCTTTCTATTATGAATATGCGTGCTTGTTTACAAACAAGAGAAAAAAAAGTCCAGTCACGTGATATGCAAATTAGCCTGTGGCAGTGATGTTATGCTAAGTCATCACTGCGCCGGAGTGTGACATCACCCCTGACGATGCGGAACAGTACTCATGTGGGGGAAGCGAACCCGGGTCGTCGGCGCGAGGAACCAACGCTTTAACCACTAGGCTACCCCACCTCCCCACCAGCCCATGTGATGGGTGTATGTACCCGGTACACCAGCCCATGTGATGGGTGTATGTACCCGGTACACCAGCCCATGTGATGGGTGTATGTACCCGGTACACCAGCCTATGTGATGGATGTATGTACCCGGTACACCAGCCCATGTGATGGTGTACCCGGTACACCAGCCCATGAGATGGATGTATGTACCCGGTACACCAGCCTATGTGATGGATGTATGTACCCGGTACACCAGCCTATGTGATGGATGTATGTACCCGGTACACCAGCCCATGTGATGGATGTATGTACCCGGTACACCAGCCCATGTGATGGATGTATGTACCCGGTACACCAGCCCATGTGATATGATGGATGTATGTACCCGGTACACCAGCCCATGTGATGGATGATGTACCCGGTGATATGTACCGGTACACCAGCCTATGGGATGTATGTACCCGGTACACCAGATGTGATGTATACCGGTACACCACCAGCCCATGTGATGGATGTATGTACCCGGTACACCAGCCCATGTGATGGATGTATGTACCCGGTACACCAGCCCATGTGATGGATGTATGTAACCGGTACACCAGCCTATGTGATGGATGTATGTACCCGGTACACCAGCCCATGTGATGGGATGTATGTACCCGGTACACCAGCCCATGAGATGGGTGTATGTACCCGGTACACCAGCCATGTGATGGATGTATGTGATGGATGTATGTACCCGGTACACCAGCCATGTGATGGATGTATGTACCCGGTACACCAGCCCATGAGATGGATGTGTATACACCGGTACACCAGCCTATGTGATGGATGTATGTACCCGGTACACCAGCCCATGTGATGGATGTATGTACCCGGTACACCAGCCCATGTGATGGATGTATGTACCCGGTACACCAGCCTATGATGGATGTATGATGGATGTATGTATGTGACCCGGTACACCAGCCCATGTGATGGATGTATGTACCCGGTACACCAGCCCAGCCCATGTGATGGATGTATGTACCCGGTACACCAGCCCATGTGATGGATGTATGTACCCGGTACACCAGCCCATGTGATGGATGTATGTACCCGGTACACCAGCCCATGTGATGGATGTATGTACCCGGTACACCAGCCCATGTGATGGATGTATGTACCCGGTACACCAGCCCATGTGATGGATGTATGTACCCGGTACACCAGCCCATGTGATGGATGTATGTACCCGGTACACCAGCCCATGTGATGGATGTATGTACCCGGTACACCAGCCCATGTGATGGATGTGTATGTACCGGTACACCAGCCTATGTGATGATGGATGTATGTACCCGGTACACCAGCCCATGTGATGTACCCGGTACACCAGCCCATGTGATGGATGTATGTACCCGGTACACACCAGCGGTACCAGCCCATGTGATGGATGTATGTACACCAGCCCGGTACACCAGCCTATGTGATGGATGTATGTACCCGGTACACCAGCCTATGTGATGGATGTATGTACCCGGTACACCAGCCCATGTGATGGATGTATGTACCCGGCACACCAGCCTATGTGATGGATGTATGTACCCGGTACACCAGCCTATGTGATGGATGTATGTACCCGGTACACCAGCCCATGTGATGGATGTATGTACCCGGTACACCAGCCCTATGAGATGGATGTATGTACCCGGTACACCAGCCCATGAGAGGGATGTATGTAACCGGTACTCCAGCCCATGAGATGGGTGTATGTACCCGGTACACCAGCCCATATGATGGATGTATGTACCCGGTACACCAGCCTATGTGATGGATGTATGTACCCGGTACACCAGCCCATGTGATGGATGAATGTACCCGGTACACCAGCCTATGTGATGGATGTATGTACCCGGTACAGCAGGCTATGAGATGGATGTATGTACCCGGTACACCAGCCCATGTGATGGATGTATGTACCCGGTACACCAGCCTATGTGATGGATGTATGTACCCGGTACACCAGCCTATGTGATGGATGTATGTACCCGGTACACCAGCCCATGTGATGGATGTATGTACCCGGTACACCAGCCCATGAGATGGGTGTATGTACCCGGTACACCAGCCCATGAGATGGATGTATGTACCCGGTACACCAGCCTATGTGATGGATGTATGTACCCGGTACACCAGCCTATGTGATGGATGTATGTACCCGGTACACCAGCCCATGTGATGGATGTATGTACCCGGTACACCAGCCCATGTGATGGATGTATGTACCCGGTACACCAGCCCTATGAGATACCCGGGCCTATGTGATATGTACCCGGTACACCAGCCCATGATGATGGATGTATGTACCCGGTGGATGTATGTATGTACCGGTACACCACAGCCCATGTGATGGATGTATGTACCCGGTACACCAGCCCATGTGATGGATGTATGTACCCGGTACACCAGCCCATGTGATGGATGTATGTACCCGGTACACCAGCCTATGTGATGGATGTATGTACCAGCCCATGTGATGGTATGTACCCGGCCTACACCAGCCCATGTGATGGATGTATGTACCCGGTACACCAGCCTATGTGATGGATGTATGTACCCGGTACACCAGCCTATGAGATGGATGTATGTACCCGGTACACCAGCCCATGAGGAGCCTATGTGATGATATGTACCCGGTACACCAGCCCATGATGATGGATGTATGCCAGCCCATGGATGGATGTAACCCACACCAGCCCATGAGATGGATGTATGTACCCGGTACACCAGCCCATGTGATGGATGTATGTACCCGGTACACCAGCCCATGTGATGGATGTATGTACCCGGTACACCAGCCCATGTGATGGATGTATGTACCCGGTACACCAGCCTATGTGATGGATGTATGTACCCGGTACAGCAGCCTATGAGATGGATGTATGTACCCGGTACACCAGCCCATGTGATGGATGAATGTACCCGGTACACCAGCCTATGTGATGGATGTACCCAGTACACCAGCCCATGTGATGGATGTATGTACCCGGTACACCAGACCATGTGAAGGATGTATGTACCCGGTACACCAGCCCATGAGATGGGTGTATGTACCCGGTACACTAGCCCATGTGATGGATGTATGTACCCGGTACACCAGCCTATGTGATGGATGTATGTACCCGGTACACCAGCCCATGTGATGGATGTATGTACCCGGTGCACCAGCCCATGTGATGGATGTATGTACCCGGAACACCAGCCTATGTGATGGATGTATGTACCCGGTACACCAGCCTATCAGATGGGTGTATGTACCCGGTACACCAGCCCATGTGATGGATGTATGTAACTGGTACACCAACCCATGAGATGGGTGTATGTACCCGGTACACCAGCGCATGTGATGGATGTATGAACCCGGTACACCAGCCTATGAGATGGAGGTATGTACCCGGTACACCAGACCATGCCTATGGATGGATGTATGTACCCGGTACACCAGACCATGGATGGGTGTATGTACCCGGTACACCAGCCTATGTGATGGATGTATGTAACCGGTACACCAGCCCATGTGATGGATGTATGTACCCGGTACACCAGCTCATGTGATTAATGTATGTACCCGGTAGACCAGCCCATGTGATGGATGTATGTACCCGGTACACCAGCCCATGTGATGTATGTACCCGGTACACCAGCCTATGCGATAGATGTATGTACCCGGTACACCAGCCTATGTGATGGATGTATGTACCCGGTACACCAGCCTATGAGATGGATGTATGTACCCGGCACACCAGCCCATGGATGGATGTATGTACCCGGTACACCAGCCCATGTGATGGGTGTATGTACCCGGTACACCAGCCCATGTGATGGATGTATGTACCCGGTACACCAGCCTATGTGATGGATGTATGTACCCGGTACACCAGCCCATGTGATGGATGTATGTACCCGGTGCACCAGCCCATGTGATGGATGTATGTACCCGGTACAACAGCCTATGAGATGGATCTATGTACCCGGTACACCAGCCTATGTGATGGATCTATGTACCCGGTACACCAGTCTATGTGATGGATGTATGTACCCGGTACACCAGCCTATGAGATCGATGTATGTACCCGGTACACCAGCCCATGAGAGGGATGTATGTAACCGGTACTCCAGGCCATGAGATGGGTGTATGTACCCGGTACACCAGCCCATATGATGGATGTATGTACCCGGTACACCAGCCTATGTGAGGGATGTATGTACCCGGTACACCAGCCCATGTGATGGATGAATGTACCCGGTACACCAGCCTATGTGATGGATGTATGTACCCGGTACAGCAGGCTATGAGATGGATGTATGTACCCGGTACACCAGCCCATGTGATGGATGTATGTACCCGGTACACCAGCCTATGTGATGGATGTACCCGGTACACCAGCCCATGTGATGGATGTATGTACCCGGTACACCAGCCCATGTGAAGGATGTATGTACCCTGTACACCAGCCCATGAGATGGGTGTATGTACCCGGTACACCAGCCCATGTGATGGGTGTATGTACCCAGTACACTAGCCCATGTGATGGATGTATGTACCCGGTACACCAGCCTATGTGATGGATGTATGTACCCGGTACACCAGCCCATGTGATGGATGTATGTACCCGGTGCACCAGCCCATGTGATGGATGTATGTACCCGGTACACCAGCCTATGTGATGGATGTATGTACCCGGTACACCAGCCTATGAAATTGGTCTATGTACCCGGTAAACCAGCCCATGTGATGGATGTATGTAACTGGTACACCAACCCATGAGATGGGTGTATGTACCCGGTACACCAACCCATGTGATGGATGTATGAACCCGGTACACCAGCCTATGAGATGGATGTATGTACCCGGTACACCAGCCCATGGATGGGTGTATGTACCCGGTACACCAGCCTATGTGATGGATGTATGTAACCGGTACACCAGCCTATGTGATGGATGTATGTACCCGGTACACCAGCCTATGTGATGGATGTATATACCCGGTACACCAGCCTATGAGATGGGTGTATGTACCCGGTACACCAGCGCATGTGATGGAAGTATGTACCCGGTACACCAGCCCATCAGAGGGATGTATGTAACCGGTACTCCAGCCCATGAGATGGGTGTATGTACCCGGTACACCAGCCCATATGATGGATGTATGTACCCGGTACACCAGCCTATGTGAGGGATGTATGTACCCGGTACACCAGCCCATGTGATGGATGAATGTACCCGGTACACCAGCCTATGTGATGGATGTATGTACCCGGTACACCAGCCCATGAGATGGATGTATGTAACCGGTACACCAGCCCATGAGATGGGTGTATGTACCCGGTACACCAGCCCATGTGATGGATGTATGTACCCAGTACACCTGCCCATGTGATGGGTGTATGTACCCAGTACACCTGCCCATGTGATGGATGTATGTAACCCAGTACACCAGCCTATGTGATGGATGTATGTACCCGGTACACCAGCCTATGAGATGGGTGTATGTACCCGGTACACCAGCCCATGTGATGGACGTATGTAACCGGTACACCAGCCCATGAGATGGGTGTATGTACCCGGTACACCAGCCCATGTGATGGATGTATGTACCCGGTACACCAGCCTATTTGATGGATGTACCCGGTACACCAGCCCATGTGATGGATGTGTGTACCCGGTACACCAACCCATGTGAAGGATGTATGTACCCGGTACACCAGGCCATGAGATGGGTGTATGTACCCGGTACACCAGCCCATGTTATGGTTGTATGTACCCGGTACACTTGCCCATGTGATGGATGTATGTACCCGGTACACCAGCCTATGTGATGGATGTATGTACCTAGTACACCAGCCTATGTGATGGATGTATGTACCCGGTGCACCAACCCATGTGATGGATGTATGTACCCGGTGCACCAGCCTATGTGAAGGATGTATGTACCCGGTACACCAGCCTATGAGATCGATGTATGTACCCGGTACACCAGCCTATGTGATGGATGTATGTACCCGGTACACCAGCCCATGTGATGGGTGTATGTACCCGGTACACCAGCCTATGTGATGGATGTATGTACCCGGTACACCAGCCCATGTGATGGATGTATGTACCCGGTACACCAGCCTATGTGATGGATGTATGTACCCGGTACACCAGCCTATGAGATCGATGTATGTACCCGGTACACCAGCCTATGTGGTGGATGTATGTTCCCGGTACACCATCCCATGTGATGGGTGTATGTACCCGGTACACCAGCATATGTGATGGATGTATGTACCCGGTACACCAGCCTATGTGATGGATGTATGTACCCTGTACACCAGCCACTTAGATATTTGTCCTGAGTGTATGTCGACACCCACCCCCAACATCCACCCCTCTCCCCTTCCCCTCTAAGCTGTGTGTCCCATTATCCTAACACGAGCTGAATTCGACATTCTGGTGATTTCGACGATTGCATTGCTCGCGCTATATCGGGTGATTATGTGTGCGAACGGAGTGCACAAACAGTTTCACTGGTAGGGCGGGTGCCCAGTCGCTGTCCTGAGAAGTTTTATTGACAATGGAAATCGGGAAGTAAAGTTATATAAAAAGCAAACAAACATCAATATTATTTACCCGAGATCGTTAATACCACTTTAGATGCAAAATCAGTTGCCTTTATAACAAAAAATAGCAAGCGAAAATTCAGTAAGATCAGTCGTCTGCTGGTGACAGGCAATATATAAATAGGAAGCCACGTGATCACAACACTCCCTCGCAGTACAGCAAAGAGCTCATCGTCGAAAACCCATACAAAATACCCGCATGTTAGGAGCGGCCACTGTTTCGCCGATACGATGTCATCAACGCTATTTTTGTAGGAAACACTTGATATGTTTGTGTGAAATTGATGAATATATCCTTTATCACCCCATGTTAGTAAAATAAAACTTTAAATGATATTACAGATAAAAATTACGTTTTTGTCTAACATCGTCGAAAACCCCTGACAACGGGATACACCTGAGCATTACGGGTGCATGTTTCTGCACTTAACGCCCCAGTGAAGGCGAGGAAACAGATATGCGTGAGACTGTGTTATTCTCAAACAAAGGACACCATGCAGTGTGTGCGACTAACCATCAGCGAGTTCTCCCAAAATACAGCTTTACATGCAAACTGAACCAGTCTTCATCATGAAGAGATCGATATGTCCTCGACGTGAATCCTCAGTCAGCCCCCTCAGTCACAGATGGATCCGAGCATCGGAGTACACCTGAGTTCATCATAGAGCTGTGTCATGGCGCTGTAGGTATTCAACCACTTTTTAACCAATATTTAACGAATATCCAACAATATTCCAACCACAAACTTCAACTTTAACACAGTTCTTGTCGAAACGTTGATATTTTAATCTGAATGTTATTTTCAATTTGAAATAGGGCATCGTTTCAACAATGATTCAACGTTGTTGTGTCTGGGCTATTACATGAATTAACTCATGGCTATTCAATTTTGGGAGAATATGTCTGTTGGATTTACACACCATTCGGTTATCACCTTCTGACTAACTACATCACACCTGTTGTTGGGGTGGAACCTCTTAAATCGACTACATCAGTGACGGACAATGCAACAACATCGACGTCGTCAAACAGTAGATAAAGACTCGTGGGCCCTGGTACGGTTCTTGATGTGTTCTCGGAACATGCGTTCTGTGATATTTAAACCGAACCGTGCTTTAGAAGAGTTCGTATTTTACTGGAACTACCAATCAGCACATTGACTTACTTGCATATAGGTCCGTATAAAGTGCTTGAATTGTCCTGATATGGCAATATTTCCGGGGACTAATTTTCACTAAACCGTGTAGCGTGGGTATTGTTGCCTCGAATGTAACCTTGATTGTGATTGGTTGCCGTTGTAATGACCTGATGACCTTTGATGCATTGTTTAATGGGGGGGATACGGAGAAAAACGGACCCAAAACAAATCGAGAAAAAACGGCCACCGTGCTGGAGAGACCGGCCTCCGAACCTGGACAAAACGGCCAGCATAGTTGCATCAATATCAAAGGCGATTACATGACGATATATGTTCTGACTAATAGATTTTGAAAATTTGATTGATTGTTTTTGTTTCGAAGATTGATTGGTTGTTTCGATAGTTACGATGAACAAACCGTTTGATTGTAGATTTTACAGGTAAGATTAGTTGATGACAGAGAGAGAAAAGATAATAAGGCAGTGATTAAATTGACGAACGGATTAGTAGAATATTTGATTACATCAAATGCGAATAAAATAAGTCTGTTCTAACTAATTCCAACTTTTGTTCTTGTAGTTCTGCCATAGTCCTAAGTATGGTGATCTACCTTCAGTTGTGTGCCATCTATATCCTGTTTTTCTATTGTATTGTCATCTATAGTTTAAATGTTTCAAATTTCATTAATTTCAATTTGCATCACGAGTCACCATGAATCGGGTGAAGTCATCCAATCACCCCGCTATTCCCTTGGTACCGACTGACGTGAGAGTGAGAAAATCAGCGAGACATACGTCACACGTCGAATGAAACATAAACAAGACAATATCCCCTGCAATGGTAAAATGCTTTTCATGAATACGTCAACTAAGTACTATCGGAAATAGAAAAAAAAACTGTTTTTAGGCTGTTACTCTGTATCCCTAAAACTTACACAACTAAAAAGAGCAAATGTCGAAATTACCCACTTCGGCCTAACTTGGCATTCAGTGGGATGCGTAATACGATATCCAGAAAAACATGTTTACTCGTAAAATCGGCAAAACTTAGACAAAAAACAATAGCTGCTGAAAACAATAGATCAGACTAAAGACGGCAATTAGGTCGCTCAGACAGGTATGACGACGGACCATCGACTCGCCTGGCATGAAATGCACGTGCTGCCTACAGGCACAAGGGGTCATCTCAAAGATATTTTGTGCTTTTTCATGTGTGTTGACTATGTCTCATCTATTGATTAACATCTTACGTGTCTTTCTTTCAAGAAGTTTATGTTGAGATATGTAAGAGAGTATGATACCTGATAACCATAGAAACGCATCGTATTGAATGTATTAGATGGCATGACCACCCGATCGCGAAGATCGACGGGACTGGATATTGTTTGTAAATTGTTATTACATGCCGTGTACTTCCCCAGTATAATTGCCCTAAAGGATTATCTTATCTTAGCTGATATCTCTATCCCCAAGCACGACCCCAACGATCGTCTGCGACACCCGTCCAGGTTTTGCTTTTGAGACGATCCCTCCTACCTGTTTCTTTTTATAGTGACAGTGAGACTCCATGGTAGCTACATCCTTAATAGTTTCAGCATGAAAGTTATTATTTTTCACGCAAGCTATCGTTTATAATGAAGCTACGTCTAATTTCAAATTGGGCATTTAAAAAGTGTCCTTTGTAATACAATATCGTCGCACACTAATTTGCATAAAGCCATAGTCTGTTCCAAATAGACCGCCTGTGTGGTGTAGTGGTTAGAGCGTCCGCCCGGAGAGCGGAAGGTCGCGGATTCTATCCCCGACCGCGTCATACCAAAAGACGTTAAAATTTGGTAGGTCAACTTGTTGGTCCCTGCCTGGCGCTCGACATTAATGGGTACAACAAGGACTGGTCGCCTCGGAGTCAGTATAATGTGTCTGAGTGGGGTATTCACGCTTCACTGCGGCACGGTATCTCAGTTAGCTAGCACTATAAAACCAGCTTAAGTCTGAGCTAGTACAAGCAGCCGCACATAAACATACACACGCATGCACGTCATCATATGAGCGAAATATTCTCAAGCACGACGTAAAAACCCCTTTCACCTCACCTCGCCTGTTCCAAATAAATTGCTTTGGACTTAGAAAAAAACCACATTGCTCATTTCTGCACTAATCTCTCTTCAATAAAGTCCTTTTTCTACGTTATGCCCCTACCACTGAGATTTGTAGTTTGGCCGAAGTTAGTTTGAAAGATATGTCACACCTACACATAGCAACTACATAAATTGTAGAGATCAAAAAGTTGAAAGAAGAATGGGTTCTGCTCAATGTCACCATTCAGTGCCTTAGAGGATAGACATATCACCACTTTGTTTGGACAACAGTTCTGAAATATTTGGTCCCAAGTAAAAGCGCGTTGTCCTTGAGGGATGGAGGCTACTCGGAGATCTGTTTTGATGTAGGGGTACACTGCATTTTCTGTGGCCAAGATGTCAGCATGTCCTGTGATGATGGAAGCGGTGATAGACATCTACCAGTCTTCCAGAATAATCTTGAATTTCTTGCCGATCGCACCACTGATGATATTAAACTCGGATACTAGGATAGAGTTTAATTTGCACATTGACTCCATTGATGAGAAACTTGTCACATTCCATGACATCATCGTAGAGAGGACCACACATGTCAATTGACTTGCTCAGCTGTGTATAAGATTGTCTTGCAATAAGTCCAGAATTGGTCCCAGTAACTGAATCGGTATTGTTGATATCCTCAACGTCCCTGTAGAAGAGTTGACTGGTACAGTAAGCTTCTTCCCCTGTGGTCCCTGTTCTTATAAGAAGTTTCAAATAGCTTTTATATGGATAGAGATGGGTTGCTAAAGTCACCAATTTTCCATTTAAGGTGATGTCTACTTGAGACCACATGGATTGTAGTCATAGGTTCGCTGGAGCAACATGATCCTGTTCCAGAGATGTGCCATCTGTGTTCACAATTTTAGCTGTGACATGCAGGTGGTTTGTTTCAAGTCTATATAATCCATATTCTGACCACTAACGTTGAATTCAACAGGGCTGGCATCGGTGGTGATTTGAGAAGTCTCTCATTTAAAAAAAGTACATTTTTATCTATGCCGGTGATGAAGGAAGGTCGGGTAAACACATCCAGCTCGCTGATGGTGCTCGATTTGAAAGGGGCTGATAGGTTATTGCAAGACATGATGATGATCACAAAATGGAGCCTGGTAGGAAAGCGTGTGCACTGTACAACAGCTTCTGCTAGACTGACAGACTTTGTGTTAGAGTACCACTTATATAGGTGAGGTTAATTTCTTCTTTTCATCAGTTTGTCCAGGTTATTTGCACTTTTATTATCATTATTATTTGTTTTTCCTTTCCTGGTTTTCTTCTGTTTGGTTTTCGTGTTTATCTTCTTTGTTTTCCTTGTGACCCCTTTACCTTGTTGATGTGTTTTCTCCATACATCCTTTGGCCTGTTGAACGACTTGTTAGGTGGGAGAAGTGAGTGCAGAAGTCTCTTTAGAAGGGGGTAGGTCCATCTTGACCCCTTGTTGCCCGTAATAGATCACATAATCATCCACGTTAGTAAAGGGATTGGGATAGCCTTTAGCCTGCAAATAGTAATATTTGGTCTATATCTTAGGATCGTCCAAATAGGGTCTCCAGTATCTTCTGTTCATTTTTCTCCACTCTCGGGCAGTGATTTCAAGCCTCGGATATTTGTAACTTTATCAACTCGTGTTGATATAATTGATATCAGTAGACACTTGGTCGAGATTCTGTATATATTCTGGATACAAAATATAACGTGAACTGTTTTCAAGAGTAGATGTCCAATTTTGGTAAAACATGTTGATCAAGCGTTCTTTAAAAATGTGAACAAAATCGCACGGATCACCGACAGCTTGTGAAAACCAGACAAATCCAAAACCGTTTGAGCAACGTATATGGCGGATCTCAGACACCCATGTGTGGTCTCTGTAATATCGGCCGTCTTGTAGCATGCGTGCGACCCTCGTCCATAAACAACACGACAGCTGCATAGCATTTCTAGAGAATGACATTATTTAGAGTTGTCTCCCTTGGACCGCTCAAATAAGCGAAGGGGGCGTGGTCAGCTGTAATCGCTGTTACAGTATCCAGTGGTATCTACGTAATACAACATAATATATGCCTTTTACGGAATTCGTCCTTGGACCGCTCAAATAAGCGAAGGGGGCGTGGTCAGCTGTAATCGCTGTTACAGTATCCAGTGGTATCTACGTAATACAACATAATATATGCCTTTTACGGAATTCGTCCATCATGCATTTTCGTTAACTTAAGCCAATACATCATCGTTTGAACGTAGGGATTGATATAAACTGGAAACAGTCCACATTCTCCATAAACTATTGCAGTTGATATCTGTGGACCGACATTCAAAAAATACTTTACATGCTATAAGTAAGTGATTTTTTTCAGTGCTATCGTATCTTTCAACCACACCCCCCACCCCAAACATCTGACCCGTACAAATATAATTGCTGAATTTGGCTGTCAGATATTCCATAGATATTGGTCCAAATTTCCATAAGTTCTGAGACTTCTTGTCTAAGACTACATGTAATTACAAACCCAAGATATGTGTAGCTGTTTATCATTTCAATGTTTCTCCCATTATAAACAGTTTTCCTTAACTG